GTATGGAGATGGGAGAGTTGGATACTCTGATAATTCATCAGCCTACATAGACAGGAAAGTAACTCAGAGGCAGAGAATGGGAAGTTAATTCTTTGGAGAAACTGAATGGGATAATTCCTAGTTTTGGAGACCTTGGACAGAGCTGAGTACGAGTTAAAGTGTGAAACTAAAAATAGGGAGGTTAATCATTGCATCCTCAATGATGAAATTTCCAGATTATCTTTACCATGCAACACTCTACAAGTGCAGCATACAAGATATACACCTGACCTCCTCTCTAACTGTCCACCACCTAGCAGATATTGTAGAATTCTAACCTGGAGTATAAGAAAAGCTTAGATAAAGATTTACACATAATGCGGCACCTGGCTGGCTCAGTCAGTAAAGCATGCAACTCTTGGTCTCTGGGTTGTGAGTTCAAGCTCCACATTGGATGTGGAGATTACTTAAAAATAAAGAAATCTTTAAAAAAAAAAAAACCACCCATACTAATATTTGGAAGACTCTCCCAAGGTAATAGCCTTATCCTAGTATGGTTACATTAGTGATGTCCTACCATCAACAGGCCTCATGCACTCACAAAGAACTGACAGAATGACATCTTTCCTCCCTCCCTCCCTTGGTCTTTCTGTCTGTCTGGCTCTCTCTCTTTTTCACTGACACTGGGTTGGGCTCATTCCAACAACCATGAGATCATGACCTGAGCTGAAATCAAGAGTCAGATGCTAAACCGACTGAGCTACACAGGTGCCCCTCTCATTATTCTTAAATATAAGAACATCATCCCTTTTTAAAGTTTATTTATTTTGAGATAGAAAGAGCATGAGTGGGGCAGGGACAAAGAGAGAGAGTGTCCTAAGCAGGTTCCACACTGTCAGCACAGAGCCTGATGGGAGGCTTGAACTCATGAACCATGAGATCATGACCTGAACCAAAATTAAGAGTTGGACAATTAACCAACTGAACCACCCAGGTGCCCCTAAGAACATCATTCTTCAATATGAAAAGATAGCTCAGGACCACAGGACATTTGAGGAAATACCTATGACATGACCTAGAAAGGTCAAACCACTATCTCCAAAAAGGAAAACAAAAAGAAACAGGACGAAATAGACCTAACAGAGAAAATAGAAGAAAGTCATTAAAAATGTCTAATATCCCCAAAGTAGTAAAATTTCATAAGACCTAATATTTATTGAAAATTTACTCTGGAGGGGCACCTGGGTGGCTCAATCGGTTAAGCTCAGGCCATGATCTCACAGTTCATAGGTTCGAGCCCTGCGTTGGGCTCTGTGCTGACAGCTAGCTCAGAGCCTGGAGCCTGCTTCAGATTCTGTCTCCCTCTTGCTCTGACCCTCCCCTGCTCGCTCTGTCTCTTTCTCAGAAATAAATAAAAACATTAAAAAAATTTTTAGATAAAAATAAAACTTTAAAAAGAAAAAAGAAAATTTACTCTGTGATATCCATTTTTCTAAGTGACACATATGCATTTATTCATTTAGTATTAACAGTAACTTCATAGTGTATTCTTACTGTAGGATTGAAAATAGATTAGGGCTTAAGTGCCCCTTACTACCTATACAACCTTGAGTAAGTTCTTAACTTCCCTGTAACTCACTCTCATTTTAATAATGGGTACAACAGTGGTTTCTACTGCATAATGCATTTTCTGTACAATGTATTTTAGAAGAATAAATTATGAGAGAAGATAATACATTTACAAATCTACAAAAAGATGCTATGAAAAAGACTCAGAGAACCAAAAGAGCTCTTAAAAATACATATCGTCAGCCAAAAATAAAAACTTAAAGGTTGGATGATAGAATAACTTGTCCAAAAAAAGTAGAGCAAGAGACACAGAAAATAAGGAAGGAAAAAATTTAGTGTATTTTGAGTATTAATCTAGAAGATCCAATATTTAGCTAAGGAAATTCTGGATCAAGTGAGAATGTAGAAAATGGGAGAAATTATCATCAAAAATATAACAAGAAAATTTCTCAGAACTGAAAGTGAGGTTTAAATGTTAATAGGGTACACTGCTGTGACCAGATAAATAACTCATCATAGAGTGTTTTCAGAATATGAAGAAAAAGTTTCCAATTCTTCCAGAATGAAAAATTGGGGGTGACATTAAAAGAGAAAAGAATTAGAAGGGACTCAGTCTTCTGAAAAGGAATTCTAATTGCAATCAGAAAAAAGAACACTGCTTTCAAAATCTGAGGGAAATTTATTTTCAACTTAGAATTTTACACCCAACCAAACTATCACTCAAATGAAAAAAAAAAAAAAAAAAGAGTCCTTTACCAAGCAAATTTTCAAAAACTTTTACCTCCTAATCATTTTTATGAAACTAGTGAGAGATGTGTGTTAGTTAAATAAGGGAATAAACTAACAAAAAATAATACATTGGATCTTGTAAAAGGGGACCAACACAAGATGTTATTAAAGAAAAAAGTTCTAGGGTGACAGCCATTAGAACAACCAATGTTGGGAAAAATTAACAAAACTAAAAGGCAAACTAAGGGATGGGAGAAGATATTTGCAAATGACATATCTGATAAGGGGTTAGTATCCAAAATATATATAGAACTTATACAACTCAACACCCAAAAAACAATCCAGTTAAAAAATGGGCAGAAGGGGCGCCTGGGTGGCTTAGTCGGTTAAGCGTCTGACTTTTGCTTAGGTCATGATCTTGCTGTTCGTGGGTTTGAGCCCCGCGTCGGGCTCTGTGCTGACTGCCAGCTCAGAGCCTGGAGCCTGTTTCAGTCTGTGACTCCCTCTCTCTCTGACTCTCCCCTGCTCACACTGTCTCTCTCTCTCTCCTAGAAATAAATAAAAACATTAAAAAAATTTTTAAAAAAATGGGCAGAAGACGTGAATAGACATTTTTCCAAAGAAGACATTTACATGGCCAACAGACACCTGAAAAGAAGCTCACAATCGCTCATCATTAGGGAAATACAAATCAAAACTTCAGTGAAATATCACCTCATACCAGTAAGGATGGCTAATAATTAACAATAAAACAAACAATAGGTGTTGGTGAAGATGCAGGAAAAGGAGAATTCTCTAACACTGTTGGTGGGAATGCAAACTGCTACAGACACTCTAGAAAACAGTATGGAAGTTCCTAAAAAAAAGTTAAAAATAGAACCACCTTATGGTCCAGCAATTACACTACTGGGTATTTACCTAAAGGGTATAAAAATACTAATTTGAAGGGATGCATGCACCCTGATATTTATGGCAGCATTATCAACAATAGCCAAATTATGGAAAGAGCCCAAATATCCACTGACTGATGAATGGATAAAGACTCTGTGTGTGTGTGTGTGTGTGTGATATATACATATGGAATGGAATATTACCCATCCATAAGAGTAAAATCTTGCCATTACAACCACATGGATGGAGCTAGAGAGTATTATGCTAAGCAAAATAAGTCAGAGAAAGACAAATACCATATGATTTCACTCATAAGTGGGATTTAAGAAAACAAATGATCATATGGGGAAAAAGAGAGAGGAAAACAAAGAAATAAACTCTTAACTATAGAGAACAAATTGAAGATTACCAGAGGAGAGATGGGTTGGGGGATGGGTGAAATAAGTGATGAGGATTAAGAAGGGCACTTGTAGCAATGAGCACGGGTGTTCAATGGAAGCACCGAATCACTAAATTTTATACCTGAAACTAATATTACACTGTATGTTAACTAACTGGAATTTAAATAAAAACTGAAAAAAGAACAATGAATCAGAGATACAAAAAGATCTGGGTGAAAGATCTGAAAAAAATTCATAGGTATATGGCATTTTTTAATATTTAAGATAATTGTTATTCAAATGTGAGATAATATGAAAAATCAATAATAATAAATAGAAAATGTTGCAAATAAAAACAATGATCAATTCTAGGAATAAAGTTTTTCAAGAAAAGAAATGTAATCATTACACTAATCTGTATTTTGAAATAATCTTGGCAATATACACAAAAACTACTAGTTTAACTTAAAAAATGATAGCTCTGTTGGGAGAAAAGGAGAAAGGGCATATACAATGTTTGTATGTGTATTAGTTGGAAAGTAAGGAAGTGAAATCCTGTTTTTAGCATATGAAAGAGTGATTAAAGTATAAAACTTTTAAGATACAGTGGTATAAACATATTACTTCAAAAGATTGAGGTCAATTTAGAGAAACTACTCAGTAAGAGGGAGCAGAACATTGAAGAATTTATTGTTTTTCTTTGTAATTTTTTGTTAATCATGATTTAAAATTTTCGTAACAACTAAAATAAATTTGCAAAGTGAAATGAAAAGTGAATATCTTTCCAACAGTCCACCAATATTCTTCACAAATTTTCAAAATATTTTTATTTATTTTCATGCAGGTTATTACATTTTTTGGGCACTAAGAGACATGCCCTATTTTTACATTTGTCAGCAAAAGTGAACACTAGAAAGTAGTAAGAGTAGTGTATTTAAGGGAAATGAAATAATAATATGACTACAAAGTATTACTGGAGTCCCATATCACTCAAAAAATGCTCTCTCATTTTCTCATGAGCATAGTAATAGAGAAATGTTTTTAAAATACTAGATGAGGTGATTCTTTTTACACATGATTAAACAGAATGTTAAATAAGATCAAAACTGCAGGGATGTCTGCTTTCATGAAGGAAGTACAAGATGATTAGAATAAAGAGATTAGTCTATGAAATATACTAGGGGGAAAAGACAAATTTCGATTTTCTAGGTAAGAAATACCTTATCCTTGTATATCCTTGTACATTTTGAAAGGATTAAACCTTAAAACTATTTAGAAATGAGTTCTAATTAAAGCTATCTATTAATTAAATGCAAAAAAAGGATGAATCGACATTGTAAACCATATAGTACTTAAAATTGGGTTTAAAATTGCACAATAACTAGGAATTTTAAAACTAAACTAATTGATATGATCATACAACACTTAAAAGTGCATGAAAATATAAAAAGAATTTTTACTGGAAATTAAATCCAAAGCTATTTCGAAAGGTGGGATTGTCTTCACTATTCCCCACAGAGTCCTGTGCCTGGATATTGGGGATAATGGGCTTGAGATATTTGAACTCACTGGTCCCCGAGCCGCCCCGCAGGCACACGTCATACTGGTAGCTCTGGGACAGCGTCCCCGTGCCGCTGACGTCCACCAGGTGGCCCGGAAAGTGGCCCTCGGGCACCGGGCAGCGACCCGCAGACGCCGCCCGGCTCCGCCTGCACAGCCGCACCGCCACGAACACCAGCACCGAGAACAGGAAGAGCGACGACACGGACGCCAAGGCGATGACCAAGTAGACGGTGAGCGGGTCGGCCTGCGCCTCGGCCGCCGCCACCTCCGGGAGCGGCAGGTAGGGCTGCGAGAAGCCGTCCACCAGCAGCACGTGCAGCGTGACGCTGGCCGAGCGCGGCGGCTCGCCATTGTCCTTGACCAGCACCACCAGCCTGTGCTTGACGGCGTCGCGCTCGCTCAGCAGCCTGGCCGTGCGCACCTCGCCGTTGTGCGCCCACACGCCGAACAGCCCGGGCTCCGTGGCCCTGAGCAGCTGGTACGACAGCCAGGCGTTCTGGCCCGAGTCGCCGTCCACCGCCACCACCTTGGTCACCAGGTAGCCCGCCTCGGCCGCCCTGGGCACCAGCTCGGTGCAGGGCGCAGAGCCGTTCTGCGGCGGGTACAGCACGAAGGGCGAGTTGTCGTTGTCGTCCAGCACCAGCACGCGCACGCGCGCCTGGCTGCTGAGCGCGGGCGAGCCGCGGTCGGCCGCGCGCACGCCGAACTCGAACGCCTGCAGCGCCTCGTAATCCAGGGACCTGAGCGCGAACAGCTGCCCGTTGTCCGCGTTGATGGACACCAGGGAGGCCAGGGGCAGCTGCGGGTCCTGGGGCGGCAGCAGCGAGTAGGTGACGTGGGCGTTGGCGCCCGAGTCTGCGTCTGTGGCGCTGACGCTGCCTAGGTGCAGGGCGGGGCTGTTGTTCTCGCGGACCCGCAGGGTGTAGGTGGTTTGGCTGAAGGCGGGGGCGTTGTCGTTGACGTCGGACACCGTCACGGTGATGTTGTGCTGCGTTTTCAGCCTGGGGGTCCCCAAGTCCGTGACGGTGATGGTGATGTTGTACTCAGCTTGGCTTTCCCTGTCCAGCCCTCCTTCTGTCATTAGAATGTAAAAATTTTCTACAGAGGGTTTCAGAAGGAATGGCAGACTATCTTGAATGTAGCAATGCATCTTTCCATTTTCTCCAGAGTCTCTGTCTTTAATTCTAAAAATAGCGAGTACCGTCTCAGGAGAGTTCTCAGCAACATAGTTGGAAAGTGATGACATGATCAGTTCAGGGGGATTGTCATTGATGTCTAATACTTCCACCAAAATAGTACATGTTGCAGTAAGGCCCCCTCCATCCATTGCCTGTACATTTATTTTGTACGACTTTACTAGCTCATAATCAAGCAACACTATGAGAACAATTTCTCCAGAAAAATGACTGATTTGAAAGGTTGCTCGAATGTCTTCAGAAGCATCAAAAAATGAATAGGATATGTTTGCATTGACTCCAGAATCTACATCTCCTGCAGACACTTTTGCAATAAGGGATCCTACTGGGCTGTTTTCTGGGGCCTGGGTCTCATAGATGGTCTGAGAAAACTGGGGGGCATTATCATTGATGTCTAGGATCACAATTCGTATTGTGGTGGCCCCAGACCTGGGTGGAGACCCACCATCCAGTGCTGTAAGTGTTAAACTGAGCTCATGCTGTTTCTCCCGATCCAGTGCCTTATCCAATACTAGTTCCGGATATATCATGTCTTCATCACTGTCACTAATTTTAATATGGAAAAAAGGGTTCGGGTTGATGGTGTAGCTTTGGATACCATTAAGTCCTCCATCAGAATCCTCTGCTCTTTCTAGTCGAAATGCTGTCCCTTCAGCTGTATTTTCTAATATTTTTAAGACTGTCTCTTGGTCCCGAAACACTGGTGAATGATCATTGATGTCCCTGACCCTCAGCTCAGCCTGGTAAATCTGAAAGGGGTTATCCATTAAAATTTGGAAATGCAGTATACAGGGCTCTATGAGGCCACACAGCTTTTCCCGGTCCAGTTTCTCATTTGTGAGCAAATCTCCAGACTGAGGATCCAGGAGTAAGTGTTGTTTGTTATCATCAGAGACTACTCGGGCTCCTCTTGCAACCAATTCCTGGTCCCCTAGCCCCAGATCCTTTGCCAGATTAACCACAAATGATCCTCTTTCTGTTTCCTCTGTCACTGAATATTGTCCAAACCCAGAACCTGCCAAGGATACTCCACCAAATAGAAAGAGAAATAGGACTTGCCTTTGTCCTGGGCAGCATAAAATTCCAGCCTCCATTGCTTCTTCAGAAACGTCTTTTGTCAATGTTGGTCACAATCACAGCTCCCAGCATTAAGAACCAGCAGTTGCAGCCCCCAGACCTATGACATGTGTAGGAGTATGGATTTTTTCCCTTTTCCAGTCTTGGGTCACTACAGGTTTTCTCCCAGGTCATCTGCTTTGATCCTTTTTGTTAATGACTTCCGCAGCATTCTCAGTTCATGATCAAAAAAAAAAAAAAAAATTTTTTTTTTTTGGTCTCTTTAGCCTGCAGCGCCACCGCGTGGCCTCCAACAGACTCAAATGGCTGAACCCAATTTTTGTGTGTACTTACAATTTTTTTCTTTAGTGGCTCATTTAAATATTTCATTTTTTTTTTCTTTTCTTTTGTTTGGTAGAAAGTAATGTTGAAATAGAGTACTGCTAACATTGTTGAGATTTTCCATTGCTTCATGGGAAAAGTTAAAAATTCCAAACTTGGAAAATGTTTCTGGAAGTTAACTCCTTCCACCTCATTGTGCTACACTTAGTTCTGTAGTAGGCCTTTCACTCCTGACACTACTCCCATGCAATGTCATGAACCAAAGGGAAACATAGTGGTGACCTCTAGGACCAAAATAAGATTTTACTTTTCCAAAACAGTAACCAAACTGACAAAACAAAACTGTTTCACACATTCCTCAACAATATTCTTAAAAATCTAACTGGAAACTAATTTGACAATAAACTATTTGTAAAAAAAAAAAAAATCTAACTATACTGCCTGAATATAATCACCCAGAGGGAAGGGTTTAGGCTTTCCCTCCTCTGTGCTCTCAGAAACTTGTATAATTGCTCTGTAAATATTACTGTTTCCTGTTTCATGCCAATTTGTCCCTTCTTCAGGTCAGTATGTCCCTATGTGAGGATGGAAACTATGCCTTAATAATCTTATATTCACAAATCAGACACCCAATTTGCTGTACTAAGGCATGGATAAATAAGCTCTACTTAGGATATGAAACAACCTTCTGTGCCTTAAATCCTTACTACTTGCAAACTGTATATTTTCATTTAAACTCATTGTTTACAACTTGTTTCCTTTTTTATATGTCTTTGTTTTTCTTATATTAGCTTTAAAATTACTTACAGAAATAAAGAAAGGACTGATCATTTATTTTAAGGTCCCTCTTAATTTAAATCTAGCAGGATCTAATTTATCTGTACCAAATAAAAGGGAGGAAAAGACTAGACCAGTCTAATGCCTATCCAAACACTACTGACAGTAAGAAAAGCATGATGACATCTACCTCATAGGGAATTTTATTAAAAAGCCTAATATCTAGAAAGCACTCTATCTTTCCCATGATAAGCAAGGAATACAGATTAATTGAGGGACAGTGTAGAGGGAAAGAGCTAGATACTACCCAAAACTCTAATTGCTAAACATAAAAGCTATACCTTATAAACCTGTGATGACTTATACTGTCTTTTCCAATTGAATGTGACTGCGCCATTAAAAACTTAACAGGGATCTCTAATTTTTTTTTATGCAGAATTTAAAACAAATGATGAAGTATTTCTACACAATGCTATAAAACACCTAAACATTGCTTTTTTTGTCTTCAAATTTAAATACATACACTCAGTATCTTACAGAGGTATTTCTTCCTATTTTACATAAGACTTATTAGGGATTTATTTATATCACACAACGGAAATAAATTAAAGATGCAGATACCAATACAGGGAAGACAGAACTTAAAAAAAGTAATATAGGTTTTGAAACACTATAATAAAAATTGAGGTTGATAAACCAACAAAAATAACAGTTGTTTTTTTTTTAATGTTTTTATTTATTTCTAGGAGAGAGAGAGACAGCGTGAGCAGGGGAGGGTCAGAGAGAGAGGGAGTCACAGACTGAAACAGGCTCCAGGCTCCGAGCTGGCAGTCAGCACAGAGCCCAACGCGGGGCTCGAACCCACGAACCGCGAGATCATGACCCAAGCGAAAGTCGGACGCTTAACCGACTAAGCCACCCAGGCGCCCCCAAAAATAACAGTTTTAAAAGGAAAGAGAAGAACTATCAAATAGTAAATGCACAGATTACATGCACATTGTTTTCATAACTGAAGAAAGTTCTAGAAGAAGTTCTAGAAAAGGAAAACTAAAAAGAAAATTATAGGTACAAAGTCAACAAAGACATTTATAAAGTGGAAGAAAATGTTAATGGTATCACCTTTAAAGGTAAAGCCCATTTCACTTATTGGGATTCTATTGAAAAATACTTCATTGGGCTAAAAGATGAAGGTAAAGAAACCTATGAAGTTAGGTATAAAACTGAAAATTGAGAATGAACCAAATACACAAAATTAAACAACACCTTACTGTTGGCGGTAGGCATAAACAATTTAGTTAGTCCAGAAAAAAACAGAAGTTAATGTCTTTATTAAATAGGTTCCTAGCAATAATTAAATCCCAAAATTATTCTGGAAGGAGGCATTTTCTTCCACTTCCTTCCCTGGGCTCTGAAACTGCAGATTAGGGATAATGGGCTTGAGATATTTGAACTCACTGGTCCCCGAGCCGCCCCGCAGACACACCTCGTACTGGTAGCTCTGGGACAGCGTCCCCGTGCCGCTGACGTCCACCAGGTGGCCCGGAAAGTGGCCCTCGGGCACCGGGCAGCGACCCGCAGACGCCGCCCGGCTCCGCCTGCACAGCCGCACCGCCACGAACACCAGCACCGAGAACAGGAAGAGCGACGACACGGACGCCAAGGCGATGACCAAGTAGACGGTGAGCGGGTCGGCCTGCGCCTCGGCCGCCGCCACCTCCGGGAGCGGCAGGTAGGGCTGCGAGAAGCCGTCCACCAGCAGCACGTGCAGCGTGACGCTGGCCGAGCGCGGCGGCTCGCCATTGTCCTTGACCAGCACCACCAGCCTGTGCTTGACGGCGTCGCGCTCGCTCAGCAGCCTGGCCGTGCGCACCTCGCCGTTGTGCGCCCACACGCCGAACAGCCCGGGCTCCGTGGCCCTGAGCAGCTGGTACGACAGCCAGGCGTTCTGGCCCGAGTCGCCGTCCACCGCCACCACCTTGGTCACCAGGTAGCCCGCCTCGGCCGCCCTGGGCACCAGCTCGGTGCAGGGCGCAGAGCCGTTCTGCGGCGGGTACAGCACGAAGGGCGAGTTGTCGTTGTCGTCCAGCACCAGCACGCGCACGCGCGCCTGGCTGCTGAGCGCGGGCGAGCCGCGGTCGGCCGCGCGCACGCCGAACTCGAACGCCTGCAGCGCCTCGTAATCCAGGGACCTGAGCGCGAACAGCTGCCCGTTGTCCGCGTTGATGGACACCAGGGAGGCCAGGGGCAGCTGCGGGTCCTGGGGCGGCAGCAGCGAGTAGGTGACGTGGGCGTTGGCGCCCGAGTCTGCGTCTGTGGCGCTGACGCTGCCTAGGTGCAGGGCGGGGCTGTTGTTCTCGCGGACCCGCAGGGTGTAGGTGGTTTGGCTGAAGGCGGGGGCGTTGTCGTTGACGTCGGACACCGTCACGGTGATGTTGTGCTGCGTTTTCAGCCTGGGGGTCCCCAAGTCCGTGACGGTGATGGTGATGTTGTACTGGGCTCTTTCTTCTCTGTCTAGTGCTCTCGTGGTTACCAAGGTGTAAAAGTTCTTGACTGAAGGTTTTAGAAGAAAAGGAAGGTCATCCTGGATGGAGGAAATAGTCTTCCCATTATCCCCAGAGTCAGGATCTGAAACACTGAAAACAGCAACTACAATCTCAGGTGAGTTCTCTGGGATAGGGCTGGTTAGTGCAGACATGGTCACTTCTGGGGGATTATCATTTACATCCACCACCTGTAGCAGAAGAGTACATTTTCCTGTAAGGCCTCCCCCATCAGTGGCCTTGATGTCCACTTCATAAGACATAACTGTTTCAAAATCTACTTGTTTTCTCAGTCGAATTTCCCCTGTTAGAGGATTTACCTCCAGAGTTTTGCTAATATCTTCTGAAGGCTGAAAGAGTGTGTAGGATATTTTCCCATGTACTCCGCTGTCTAAATCGCTGGCAGAGACGGTGACAACCAAGGAACCTACAGGACTGTTCTCTGGAATTTGCACCTTGTAGATGGGCTGCCCAAATTCAGGAGCATTATCATTGCTGTCCAGCACTTCAAGGCGCACACGAGCGGTCCCATACCGAGGTGGAGAGCCGCCATCCAGCGCCGTTAGGGTTAAAACGATTTCAGGCTCCTCCTCCCTATCCAGCTCTTCTTCCAACACCAGTTCAGGGTATATTCGGCCGTCACTGAGTTTTCGGATTAGAACCCGGAAATGAGAGTTGGGGCTGATCTTATAGTTTTGAACATTGTTGCTTCCTACATCCAAGTCCAGAGCATTACTCAGAGGGAATGTAATTCCGAGAGGACTGTTTTCTGGTATTTTTAGAATCATTTCTCTTTCACTGAACACGGGAGAATTGTCATTTATGTCTTTCACCCTCAGTTCAGCCTGAAATATCTCTAAGGGTTTTTCCATTAACAGTTGGAAATATAACAAGCAAGGGTCAGTTGGACCACAGAGCTCCTCGCGATCTAGTTTCTCGTTTATAAGCAAATCCCCAGTCTGAACCTTGAGCTGCAAATGCTCTTTGTTCCCCTGAGAAATGATCCGAGCCCCACGGTTGGCCATCTCTGTCAATCCCAACCCCAGGTCTTTTCCTAGATTTGCCACAAAGGAGCCTCTCTCCATTTCTTCCACTACTGAATAGGGACCTAACTCGGCACCCACCCCAGATATGCCCAGCAAAACAAAGAAAACTAGGACTTGCCTTTGTCTCAGATAGCGAATCCATCCCATCTCCATTGCTCTTACATGAAAATTTGTCTTACAAGAGCTTTGTGTATATCCAGTATCCCGGTAGCCTGGTACTGCAGTCCAGATATCAAAATTATGCCACTAAACAGAGTTGTAAAGAGATTTCAGATTCACTTTTGCTGTGGCCAGAAAAAACATTCTTTAGCTTCCAGGCAACGTGAAATTGTTTGACTGGAGACTGGAGCTGCGTAGGTAATTCTGTTTTCCATCATTTAACCTGCAGCGCCACCATGTGTTCTCACTGCATCTTATATTTTCCACAAAATACTCCTAAATGTACTGAATAAGTTGTGTAAAATGTATTCTGTAATATAAAACAATGAGCTCTATTTTCATGTGTTGTGTGTATGTGTGTGTTCAGATAGAGCTCTGTATTGTTGCACAGAGGTACAACGACCAAAGTGTTACTTAACATTGCTGTTAAACCCTGTTGAGAGTTAATAATTAAATAATATTTAAGCTAAAAAGAATGTACATTTAGGAGCAAAGTGTTGAAATAACATGGGAACAGCTTCACAAGTACATCGTTTTCATGGTACATATTATAGAATTACAAATGAATGGACACTGCAAAGCTGCAATTAATGACCGTTCTAAAGATATTATTTAACCAATGGGACATTAAATTGCATACTTCCTCTTCTTTATGACACCTAACCCTGAGAGCTGTGAATTTTTGCTACTTTCAAATTATTGAAAAATTATTTCCCAAATAGGTAGATCTCAAGATTAGGCCTGCCATGCTTTTGGATATTTTTTTAATATGACAAGAATAATTTCTGGTTATATTATTTTTAAACACTTCATCTTTTAAATTTTTTATAGTTTATTTTTATTTTTGAGTAGAGAGAGACAGATCATGAGCAGGGGAGAGAGGGAGACACAGAATCTGAAACAGGCTCCAGGCTCTGAGCTGCCAGCACAGAACCCTATGCAGGGCTCAAACCCACCAACCGTGAGATCATGACCTGAGCCGACGTCAGACGCTTAACCGACTGAGCCACCCAGGCGCCCCATCTCTTATATTATTTTTTAAAAACTTTAATGACATTTATTCACATACCGTATACTTCACTCATTTAAAGTGTACAATTCAGTGACTTTTAGTATATTTAAAGAGTAGTACATCCATCACCATAGTCAATTTTAGAACATTTACAATACCCTTCAAAATCCATACCCTTGAGCAACCACCCTCAATCCCTCCTGTTCTGAGCAATAATCAATAACTAATCAATAACTAATTTACTTTCTGACTCTGTGGACTTCCCTATTCTGGACTTTCCTATGAATAGAATAATTTAATATGTGGAGTTTTGTGAATGGCTTCTTTCACTGAGCATGTTTTCAAGGTTCACCCAAGTTGTAGCATGTATCAGTACTTCATTCCCGTTTATGGATGAATAGTATTCCATTGTATAGATATATCACATTTTGATTATCCATTCATCTGTTGATTGACATTTGGGTTGTTTCCAACTTTTTGCTACTCGGAGTCATGCTGCTGCAAACATTCATACACAAGAGTTCATGTGGACAGAAATTTTCATTTCTGTAGCATGTATCAGTACTTCATTCCTTTTTATGGATGAATAATATTCCATTGTATAGATAGATCGCCTTTTGATTATCCACTCCTCTGTTGACATTTGAGTTGTTTCCATTTCTCTGGCAGCAGAACTGCCATGTCAGATGGTAGCTCTATATTTTCCAAGGTGGCTGCACCATTTTATATTCCCACCAGCTGTGTATCAGCATTCCAATTTTTCCATATCCTTCTAACTTCTCTTTTTGATTCTGCCCACTCTAGTGGGTATCACATGATTTTAATTTGCATACCTCTGATGACTAATGATGTTGGACATCTTTTCATGTGCTTATTTTCCATTTGCATATCTTCCTTGGAGAACCATCTATTCAGATCTTTGTCTGTTTTTAAACTGGATTATTTATCTTTTCCTAATTGAGTTGCAAGAGGTCTTTGTATATGCTAGATACAAGTCCCTTTGAAATTTGTATTCATTTGTTCTGCCTATCCATTTCTGTAATTTGAATTGAATCGCAGTAAGCTTCATATCTTTATCAATTCAGTGTTTTTCTTAATGATTTTCAGAAGTTTGTTAAATACTGTCTGCAATTAAAGCATCTAATCCATTAGGCATAAATTCCTGTTATAAAGATGTTTATGTGCCTTACACTGGCTACCAGTGGTATTGCCAGACTGGATAATTTTTTTTCCAAGCAACCAATCTGTGGTAGATAAATAATGGCCACTCACCCAAAGACATCCTAATTCCCCAAATCTGTAAATATTTATCTTACATGGCAAAAGTTTATAGATGTAATTAAACTGAAGATCTTATGAAGGGAAGATTATCCTGGATTATCTGGGTGGAAAAACTTTTGTTGGGCATGGTCAAAAGGAGATTTGATTATGGAAGAATTGGTTGAAGAGATACAGTGTTTGTTGGTTTTGACAACGGATGAAAGGGGACATGAGTCAAGTAATATAGAAAGCATCTAGAAGCTAGAAAAGACAAAGAAATGGATTCTCCTCTAGAGCCACCAGAAAGATATGCACTCCTGCCAACACTTTGATTTAGCCCAATAATACCCATACCAGACATGAGACCTAAAAAGCTATAAGGTAATACATTATTTTTGTTTTTAGCGACTATGTTTGTGGTAATTTTTTATAGCAATAATGGAAAACAGATACATAACACAAGAATGGATATTCATGTACCTCAAGCTGAGTTAACAATTTATGACTCTCCAAGAATAGTTTACCACAGCAATTGCTGGAAAATGTCTGATTCAACTCCAGTGAGCCATCCTTTCAGAATAAAGTCACTTATGACCCTCTAAGTATTTTTGCACCATAATTTTTGTGGAATTGCCAAAGACATGTGGTTAATTTTAACACAAAATAGCTGGAGTCTATCAGTTTTGTTCCTACTAAATTTCCAGAATCTCTAAATCATTTAGTGAAAAAAATCCTCCACACCATTGCCTATACTTTTCTGAAATTAGTTATTTCATGTAAAAGTAATGCTAGAATATGAGGGACACCTGGGTGGCTCAGGTGGTTAAACATCCAACTATGGCTCAGGTCCTGATCTCATGGTTCATAAGTTCAAGTCCCCATCTGGCTCTCTGCTGTCAGCATAGAGTCCACTTCCAATCCTTTGTCTCTCCCTCCTCTTTCCCCCACTCATTCTCTCTCTCAAAACAAATAAGCTTAACAAAATAAAATTAGTACTAGAATATCAATTGTTTTCTAACAATAGTGTGCTAAAATGAATACAGTATATTTAATTTGAATAAGGGACTTAGAAAAAATGTACATAATAAGGTGAATTTCAACCTTCTAAGGAAAATGAAAATTTTATATTAGGATTGACAGAAAACAGACTGAAGGACTAGTACAAAAAATTCAAGAAATATAACCATAAGGTAACTCTACTTATCCAGAGCATTCATTTCTGTGATAATTAATGTGATATGTTAAGATGGTACAGGAAAATGATCGATACAGCCTTTATTAGGCTGTTTTGCTCCTAATAAAGATTGACTATGGTGTCCGACCCAGCTTACTTAGGTCAGTGCTTCTATTAGAACTTTGGATCTACTGATCCAGAGTAGTGTTTTAGTCTATAGTAAAGAAACAAGTACAAACTATAGACTAAAAGCTACATTTTTACATAGGAGTTTAGTTTATGGAATAGATGGATTTCACTTTCTTTAGTTAGGAAGACAGTGCTACCAGTTAATGCCTGCCATTATAACACATGGATTAAGAGCTGGAGTATCAGTTAAAACAGACTATATTTCAAATTTCTCCTTTTATTACTTTAGAATTGTTAGCAAGTTACTAACCTTTCTAAACTTCAGTTTCCTCATATGTAACTTAGAAAGTTGAACTTCACTTTATTACATACATTTTCTCATGTATAACTTAGAAAGTTGAAGTTTACTTTATTACATATATTTTTTCTAAGTCCCTTATTCAAAGCCTTAGGGTTTGTCAGAGGACTAAAAAGATAATGAATGTAAAGCACTCTAGTCTACTACTTTTTTCTGTACCCTACTTTGAACTCAATTAGAAATAAAAAATAAGAGCTTTAAAAGATCAATTATATCAGCCACCTGGGTGGCTTAGTCGGTTAAGCGTCCGACTTTCACTTAGGTCATGATCTCGCGGTTCGTGGGTTCGAGCCCTGCGTCGGGCTCTGTGCTGACTGCCAGCTCGGAGCCTGGAGCCTGTTTCAGCCTGTGACTCCCTCTCTCTCTGACCCTCCCCTGCTCACGCTGTCTCTCTCTCTCTCTCTCTTCTATAAATAAATAAAAACATTAAAAAAATTTAAAAAAAAAATAAAAATAAATAAAAGATCAATTATATCAAACTAAACACTTAAGATCTGTGCGTTTTACTGTCTTATATAACATTTTAATTAAAAAATGCTTACTGTTAAAGCCTTAGGATTGGATTCCACTGGAGGTAGCACAAAAACTAAAATGATGGTGGCTTAAATGAGATAGAAGTTCTTTTATCTCTCAGGTAAAGAGATTTAAAAAAATCAGAAGTAGGCACTCCAGGGGTAACATGATGACTCCATAGTTACCAGGGATCCTCATTTCTTTTAAATTTCTTCTATACTGACTGTCTTTACGTTATTCCATCCTTAGTGTTGTTCTCTGGTCCAACATGGCTAATTGTGTTGCAGCTATTACTTACACATTCCAAGCCATAAGGCGCAGTTAGAGAAGATCAAAAGGGGACATCTCCCTTTAAATAGCTTTCTTGTAGGAAGTCTCCTACAACATTTGTATATACATTCCTGTTGGCAGTAACCTTGTCAAATGCTCCGTTCCAGCTGCCAAGGAGGGAAAATGTGGGTTTTTTTGGTTTTGTTTTTTGCTTTTGATGAACTTGCTAATGCCCTACATGTAATTTGTGATCTATTACTAAGGAAGAAAAAAATGAATGGATGTTTGGTGACCACTACATTTTCTGTCACCCATGCTCAATGTTTCTCAAATAAGAAAAGTCCATTTCACTACTATGCTGTCTCATGTCACTGGATGAACACAATGTAGCTATTTTTTCCCCTGTTAACAGCAATGAAATTTAATGGAAGGCAATTAAAATAATTGTATTAAAATTAACACTAGTATATTAATGAAAGGAAGCACAATATATAGTATATAACATTTGAGGGGAAACAATATCAGAGTTAAGAGCTATGAGAGCAGCTTTGCTGACCGCTCAAAACTGCTTGAGATTCTCTCTCCTCTGCTCTGTCTCTACCCCTCCATCAAATGGGTGTATGCACACACACTTTCTCTCAAAGTAAATAAAAAAAGAGCTATGAGAGCAGAATAAAGCAAGAGCCAGATTTTCACTGGACCATTTATTTCCTTCTCCACTAGGCATACTTCATGTGTTAGGGTACTATTGCTCTCTTATTTACCTAATGATTTATTAATAAGAAAAACTCAAGGGAATACAACTGATCATATAAAATCAACTTTCCACTATTTTTTCCTAATCCATTCCTCTTTTCTCAAGCTCTGATTTAAAAATGTGTATTTATTTTGACCGAGGGGCGGGGGAAGGGCAGAGACAGAGAGAGACAGAAGATCCGAATTTGGCTCCCCAGCAGCGAGCTGGGTGCGGGGCTCCAATTCTGGAGCAGTGAGATCATGAGCTGAGGGGAAATCCGAATGCTCAACCTACTGAGCTACCCCGGAGCCCCATCCTAATCCATTACTAAGCTATTCCACAGCAACAATTTGTACAATTACTGACTTCATCAGCATTTAGAGAGCAAAAATTAGGACCATTTCATCTTATAGTGTTGAGAAAAAAAGACTATTCTTTATAACAAAGCGGTAATATAAAATATTCTGCAGGCAAGTATATTGTGATTTAAAAATCCTTAACGGATTGCCAGAAAATCCATATCTTGAACTTACCAAGTTTAAATATCTGGAATACGAAAAACAATATAGTCACTGAATACTAAAACCGAAGTCATTCCTAAAGTTGGCGTTTTCTTCTATTTCTGGCCCAAGGGAGCGGCCCTGGAAATTTGGCACAATCGGCTTGAGAAATTTGAACTCACTGGTCCCCGAGCCGCCCCGCAGTCACACCTCATACTGGTAGCTCTGGGACAGCGTCCCCGTGCCGCTGACGTCCACCAGGTGGCCCGGAAAGTGGCCCTCGGGCACCGTGCAGCGACCCGCAGACGCCGCCCGGCTCCGCCTGCACAGCCGCACCGCCACGAACACCAGCACCGAGAACAGGAAGAGCGACGACACGGACGCCAAGGCGATGACCAAGTAGACGGTGAGCGGGTCGGCCTGCGCCTCGGCCGCCGCCACCTCCGGGAGCGGCAGGTAGGGCTGCGAGAAGCCGTCCACCAGCAGCACGTGCAGCGTGACGCTGGCCGAGCGCGGCGGCTCGCCATTGTCCTTGACCAGCACCACCAGCCTGTGCTTGACGGCGTCGCGCTCGCTCAGCAGCCTGGCCGTGCGCACCTCGCCGTTGTGCGCCCACACGCCGAACAGCCCGGGCTCCGTGGCCCTGAGCAGCTGGTACGACAGCCAGGCGTTCTGGCCCGAGTCGCCGTCCACCGCCACCACCTTGGTCACCAGGTAGCCCGCCTCGGCCGCCCTGGGCACCAGCTCGGTGCAGGGCGCAGAGCCGTTCTGCGGCGGGTACAGCACGAAGGGCGAGTTGTCGTTGTCGTCCAGCACCAGCACGCGCACGCGCGCCTGGCTGCTGAGCGCGGGCGAGCCGCGGTCGGCCGCGCGCACGCCGAACTCGAACGCCTGCAGCGCCTCGTAATCCAGGGACCTGAGCGCGAACAGCTGCCCGTTGTCCGCGTTGATGGACACCAGGGAGGCCAGGGGCAGCTGCGGGTCCTGGGGCGGCAGCAGCGAGTAGGTGACGTGGGCGTTGGCGCCCGAGTCTGCGTCTGTGGCGCTGACGCTGCCTAGGTGCAGGGCGGGGCTGTTGTTCTCGCGGACCCGCAGGGTGTAGGTGGTTTGGCTGAAGGCGGGGGCGTTGTCGTTGACGTCGGACACCGTCACGGTGATGTTGTGCTGCGTTTTCAGCCTGGGGGTCCCCAAGTCCGTGACGGTGATGGTGATGTTGTACTCCGCCTGGCTTTCTCTGTCGAGGGGGCTCTCCGTTACCAGCGTATAGAAATTCTCTACTGATGGCTTCAAGGCGAAGGGGAGATGGTCTTGGATGGAGCACAGCATCTTTGCATTGTTCCCAGAATCTTTGTCTCTAATCCTAAAAACAGCTACTACTGTCTCGGGTGAGTTTTCTGCAATTGGGCTAGTAAGTGATGACATGAGCAGTTCCGGTGGATTATCATTTATATCTGTTACATGCACCACCACAGTACATTTTCCAGAAAGCCCTCCACCATCTTTGGCTTGAATAGTTAATGTGTAAGTTTGTACTGCCTCGTAGTTCAATTCGGCTTTAAGATGAAGCTTGCCAGATGTTGAATTGATTCGAAATGTTCTGAGAATTTCTTCAGTGGCGTAAAAAAATGCATAGACTATTTCTCCATTAGTTCCGGTATCTAAATCTCTAGCTGACACAGTGACAACCAAGGAGCCAACAGGGCTGTTTTCAGGCACCTGCACCTTGTAGATTGACTGTACAAATTCAGGGATGTTGTCATTTATGTCCAAAACCAGGATGCGTATGAGGGCAGTCCCGAATCTGGGCGGAGACCCTCCATCCAAGGCTGTGAGGGTTAAACTGAGCTCAGGAACCTCTTCACGATCCAAAACACCATCCAGGACCAGTTCAGGATAAACATTTCCCTCCGCACTATCACGGACATTAATATGGAAATAGGCATTGGAGCTGATGGTGTAGTTTCTCAGGTTGTTGATTCCAACATCTGAATCCTGTGCACTTTCTAGGAGAAATGTTGCCCCTGGAGTGGCACTTTCTAATATTTTCAAGGTAATCTCTCTATCTAGAAATACTGGAGAATGATCGTTGATGTCTCTGACCCATAGTTCAGCACGGAAAATCTGAAAAGGTTTTTCAAGTAACAACTGGAAAGGTAGCACACAGGGCTCTCTGGGCCCGCACAGTTCCTCACGGTCTAATTTCTCATTTAGAAGTAAATCACCAGTAATCGGATTGAATAGTAAAAATCGTATGTTCTCATCTGAAATGATTCTAGATCCCCGAGCTGACAGTTCCCCCACCCCCAACCCCAGATCATTTGCTAGGTTGGCCAGAAAGGTCCCTCTCTCCGTTTCCTCCGCCACAAAATACCGAAGCGGTTCTGTGCCAGCCCAAGACACTCCCAGAAATACGCAAAGAAAAAACACTTGCCTTTTCTGCACTGCAAGCACCACTCTGGCCTCCATTCTTCGTTTAAACAATCTTTGAAAACCACGTTCACTCAGCCTCAAGCAGTTCTCAGAAATGGCAGAAACCGAATCCTTAGAAATGAGCCGGATATGTTTGTGGGGAGGGGGTCCCACTTTACCCTACTCTAACACCACGGTTTCCTTTCTTCTGCTTTTCTTGCCTGGCCAGCTTTCTTCTAAACACCGGAATCTGTTAACATCCTTTGTGTGAGTATTTCCCACTCTTTTTAGCCTGCAGCGCCACCTTGCGTTTTGTGGATGTTATCCCACCTTCATGAATAGAACAAAAAGATGGCGGATTAAAGGAATTGCAACAGGAATAGTTTTATATCCCCAAGTGTCTTTGCGGTTTTATTGCCTTTTTCCTTAAATAGTCACAGTAATGTTAGTAAGTGCTTACACTGTTTTTTCACTCTGATAGTTTGAATTCGTAGAAAAATAAATTTGTTGTTTTCCTTAATCTAGGAACATGAAATCCAACTCTGGCTTCCACCAGGAGTAAATGTTAAAACTTTCTCCAGTTTTTAAATGGACTTGGTTTGGTAACTTTGTTGGTGGTTAATCTATGACTATCTTTTCCATTTTACTTTCGGTTATTGATCTGTCCAGGTTTTGTTTACTTTTAAAGTAATTTGTATTTAATTTTAAAAACGATTCATTTTATCTGAATTTGCAAAATTCATTGTTTTTTATCTTTAGTTATATCCCTATTCTTATTAGTTGTGTTTAGTGTTTTATCTCCTTTTTATTCTTGGGGAGACTTGTAAGATCTCTATTTTGCTGATCTTGTAAAATGCGTTGCTTTTTCAAAATAATATATGACCTCGGTTCAAAATCAAATAGTACTGGTGGTTTAGAATAAAATCATTTTCTGCCTTTTGTTTCCTTACATTCCTAGCTCCCTTCTCAATAGGCAGTCATTTTAAACTCCTTTAGTTATGTCCTCTGCCTTATTCTGTATTCTGTATTTTTAAATTAATTTTAGACATTATCAATCAACTCCTTATTATATTGAATTAGGTTTAGCTCTTGTGCACTTTCAAGGCCCTTTCATGCCTTCCTTTAGTTGCAGTACTATTTGGAACATTGTAGTGTACTAATTATACTTTCTTTTTCACTTTTTTCTTGAAGTTAATAATTGCTTGCTTTTTTATTTACTTGAATTTCTTTATGTTTATCATGTGTTCTTCCCATACTTCTAATTTCCTCGCAGTACAATTTTCCACATGGTCATTTCCATATCTCCTGAGATACCAATTTTCTTTAAATTGAGTGTTCTCTACATCTGCTGCATTGCTATCATCCTGGAACTTTCCTTTGCTGTCATTCCGGTGTTCTCTTTGTCTTTTATTCTGGTTGGATTTCCTATTTTAGTATTTTCTTTTTTCCTCTTTTTTTTTTCCTTTACCCTATGGCTTTAATAGATTCATCATATAATAGTTTCATCCGATTGAAAAGATGTCAGGGGACTTCCTGATGATATCCTCCAAAATGTCTGCTCTTGAGGTAGCTCCAAACTGGACTAGTTTGCTCGTGAGACAGTTATCATCCTGGAATTATCCTTGAACATCATTTGGAGATTCATTTCACTTCTTTTTTCAATATTCTTTTTTCTTCTGACTTCCTCTGTTGAATTACTCTATCATTTTAATAGATACCTTCCAGTAGTCTCCAGAGAAGAGTGTATGAGATTTAAATTTTGTTGTGACCTTCAGTGTATTACAATATCTTTAGTCTGCCCTCAAACTTGATTGGAAATTTAATGATAGAGTTTGAGGTTGGAAATATTTTTCTTCAGAATTTTAAAATATTTTGTTGGTGAGCTCCCTAAATCAATGTGTTTGCCAGGGAGTCTAAAGCAAATCTTATTTTATAGTTTCTGTATGACCTGTATTTTTACTTCTTGTAGTATTTCATCACTGTACAGTTTTCAAATTAGACACTAATGTTTCTTGGTTTGGGTTTATGTTCATCCACTGACAATTGGTAAGCCCTTTCTACTAGGAAAGCTTTTAGAAATTTTCTTGAATTATTTCATGGATAATGTTTTTTGTTTCTCTCTCTCAGTCTCTCTCTCTCAAGCCTCTCCCTGTCTCTTTCTCAATTATTACAAATCATATGTTGGACCTCTGATATGATCCATAATTTCCTTAGTTTTTCTTTCCTGTTTACCATTTCAAAACACTTTTGCAATATTTCCTGACATACTTTCTTAACCTTGCCTTCAAGCTCTTCTACTGAGATTTTCATTTCTTCATTATGTTCATATTTTACAAGAGCCTTGTTTTTTTAAGGAATTTTTCAAGAGAGCCCTCTTTTTGTACTTATTTCATAGATGCAATAATTTCTTTTCTCATCTGATTGTATTAATTATAGGGTTTTTTTTTCAAGTTTTTTCCTCTGTAAACTTTGTTTTGTCCAACTTACATTTTTTCCTCTTTGCTTGGTTTTTGTTTAGGTTTTTCTTTTTGGAAACTTTCTTCAGGTGTCTCATTCAGGTGTCTGTTCTTAACTTAGTTTGGTAGGCTAAAGAGCTCAGTAATAGCCCTAAGCATGTTGGCAGGGCCTGTCCATTTTGAGGTGAACTGGAAGCACTTGTAGTTGGGTCAGCACAGTGTCAGTCAGAATAGGTCTTTGCCACTTGGACTGGTTAGATTTTTCAACTGTATAAAATCTCCTACCCCAAAAAGTAAAGGACTGATGGAGGAAGTAAAGGGGAGATCTGCTTCACTCGGGATATGCTAGGTAATGCTTCAATATCAAACACCTCCTCCAAATCTCAAAGGTTTAACACAATGAGGGTTGATTCCTTTCTCACACTGTATATTCTATACAGTTCAGCACAGAGCCCTCATGGTGCTCAGCCAGGGATCCAGGCTTCTGAAGACTCCATCTCTACCTATGCTTTCAGGATCACTATATTGGAGAAAGTAAATGTGTTAAATCATGTGCTGTCTCTGAAAGCCTTAGCCCAGAAATAATATACATCATTTAATCTCACATTTTACTGGCCAAAGGAAATTACATTTTATTTGCCACACATAATTTAAAGAAGAAATATAATTAAAATTCTGCCATGTGTCTGAGAATTGAAACATCTGCAATTGGTTCCAATGACTATCATAGCATTTTAACAATCCTTCAGCATACAGTGTTTAGATGGTCATTTATTTCCACTGCCCATATTACCCCTGCTCTCAGCTTTGCCAGGGGAATCTCTAATATGATTCTCCTTTTTGCGGTTGATGAATTAGAATTAATTAATCTAAAATTATGCTATGATCAGAAAAAGAAGTTGCTCATTGACTACAGTGGGGAATAGTTATCTGCTGGAGGTTTAACCACTTTTCAGGCAATTTTAATGTGACCCTCCATATTTGGCACCCTATGATCTTTTCCATAGTATCTAGGGCTGACAGCTTTGATTCTTCTGAAAATCCTGCAGCCTAAACAGGATTGGTTCTCAGCTTTTCACTCTTTAGGATTTGGTAGTTGGTTTGTCATTCTACTAAATCATTCATCTACTTTCCAACTCTAAGATTTTTCTCCTGTTGTCTTCTTCTTTCCATTCTTGTAAGTTTATGTTTTTGAAAATATCTCTTCACCTTCATGTCAGTGCATATTTAGAGGAATCTAAATTAAAGGTACATGTCCAATCCACCAATTTAACTCAAAATACTCTTGAATTTTTCAAAGAAATAGACATGTTTATTGGTGAAATCTCCCATTATTATTATTCTACTTATTAATTTACTTTTATTCTTATAATTAATTTCATTTTTATTTTTAAAAATAATTTTTCTTAAATCTTGAGTTGTTTGCTTTGTAAGACATGCATGTAAGCCTCATAACTTTTTCTGTTCCTTCTTTGGTTCTTATCTTAAATATCTTTGTTAAGAAGCTTACTATATCAGCAAGAATTATGTTCTACATGATTTCTATATACAAATATGTTCTCTATAATTTCAACCTGATATTATAGAAGAAACCATAACAACAATAGCTTCTCCAAAATATAACTTTATTTTCTCTCATAAAAGGCTAGCGGCTTGAAATGCATACTGTGCTATCTGGGATAGTCACTTTCCATGTGTTGTTTTATCACCTCCAAATCATGGCCTTTACTTTACAGTTCAAGATAGCTGTCTAATACTACCCATTATATCTCCATTCAAACCAATAAGTAGGAGAAAAGGAAGGCTTTGTCTTCCTTTTTAAAGACTACCTCCATGAAATATTCCATGGCACTTGTAGTCATTTCTCAATGGCCATAACTTTGTTACAAGACCACTCCCAATCACAACAGGAGTTGGGAAATATAATTTATAGCCCACATATCCACATGAGCAACTAAAAAATGAGAGGTCTATTAGTAATAAATAAGAGGATAACAGATATTTGGGTGAAATGAATAGTCTGTGTCATACCCACTCAGACCACACCTATAGTTCCCGCTGCTCACTAGGAGCAGATAGGGTCAACTAAATTACCTGTTAGGGTTGGTTATTAGAGGAGCATATGATTGCATTTCTACATATTAGTGGTGTGATTTGTAGCCAAAATAATTTTTGTTCCACTAAAAACTTAGCCCCAAAGCAATAAATGAACTCAGTTGCTGAGACAAGATTCTCTTTGAACTAATGATGCTCCTCAGGGTGCTATTGGCAACTGCCATCCATTTGTACTTCCTTTTATGACTTTTTAAAAATTCGGGGTCCAGGGGCGCCTGGGTGGCTTAGTCGGTTAAGCGTCCGACTTTCGCTTAGGTCATGATCTCGCGGTTCGTGGGTTCGAGCCCCGCGTCGGGCTCTGTGCTGACTGCCGGCTCAGAGCCTGGAGCCTGTTTCAGTCTGTGACTCCCTCTCTCTCTGACCCTCCCCTGCTCACGCTGTCTCTCTCTCTCCTAGAAATAAATAAAACATTTAAAAATAAATAAATAAAAATAAAAATAAAAATTCAGGGTCCAGAAATCTTAAAACTTCATTTTAAGGACTCTGAGTTATTATTCTAGGTGAAAATTAGGTTTTACCATGAGATGCCTTCAGATGAGCCCACAAAGACAGGCAAAGGTCATCTACCTACTGTCATTGCCATTGATCAGCAAGGTCAGAGAGATGTGAGTGCTTGCAGCGAAGTCAGCATTTCTGTGTCTAGCCATCAGTTTCAGAAGGAATTAGAGGCCATTGTGGCAGCAAGACACTAGGTTCCCATGTGTTGTCACCAGTTCTAGAGGTAATGGTGGGAGAAGAAATTGTAGAAGCAACAGTTTTGGTAGTAGCAGTAACAATGGCTCCCCGATTTCTGTACTACAACAGTAGTAGTGTGCCTTCAAAACCAGGAGTTAATTGCAGGCTCTCTCACTTTTGCTTGTCCAGTTCTTCTGATTTTGTAAGTATCTAATTATTTCTAGCAAATACCTTTTTTTTGGTTAGATATAGAGTGGTTTCTATTTTTAATTGTCCTGAATTCTGAATAATTCAGCCAAAGTCACCCGAAGTCAAAGTCAAAACTGCATACCTTCGCTCAAATTATAAGGAATAGGAGCTTGCCAGAGTTTGTAAAAGAAAAGAAGTAAAGTATAAAATCATTAAGCACCAATCCCTTAAGTTAACACCTCTTAGTTCAAAAATAGGGCAGAATAAAAAATTACAGTGCATATCTGAGAAACTAAGGGTAAAAATGTGTAATAATTTAATGTGTACATATAATTAATTGCATATATATGCAGTATGAAATGAATCATAGTCTCTTTCTTCCCTTATGTGTAACACAATAAAATTAGCATAAACATTTCATTGCTTGTGAATAAATATGGAAAATGCTCAACATCATATCATACATTTTAAAAGATGATAGTTGGCTCACACATTCTAAATGATAAATTGTTCTTTTTTAAGTTTTATTATTTATTTATTTTGAGAGAAGGAGAGAAAGTGTGCACGCATGAGTGAGGGAGGGGCAAACAGAGGGAGAGAGAGAGAATCCTTAGCAGACTTTATACTGTCAGCATACAGCCTGATCCAGGGCTCGAACTCATGGGCTGTAAGATCATTACCTGAGCTGAAATCAAGAGTCGAACACCCAACTAACTGAGCCACCCAGGCATCTGTAAATGATAAATTGTTAGGTAAACAAAGCAAATGTCCAATAGTATAAATAGTACCTAAGCATTTTATAAAAAATAAGTAAAATTTTTTGTTGTAGTTTATCAGTTTATAAAGCCAGATGATAAAATAACCCACTAATTCATTAATTTATTCAACTCTCATTCATCTATATTTACTTCAGTATGTATTTTCCTAAATGTAATAGAAAAAGAGCTCTCTCCATGAGATTAAAGTTTAGTGGGGAAAGGAGATCATTTGCTTGGGCAGAGCACCCAATGAATGAAACATTGGAGTCAAAGAAAAAATAGTCTCATATATCATTGGAATGATGGCAAAACTGAATGTGCAAATTGAAACAACATTAGGCAAACTCCTCACTTCTGAAATTGAAGGTATAGATAATTTAGGTGACCCTTTCATGGAAAACAATAAAAAATAATGGACAAGACTTTTTTTTAAAAAAACCTACATTAAAAATATTGAAGAGCTAGGGGCACCTGGGTGGCTCAGTCAGTTGAGCGGCTGAGCAAGCCACTCTTGATTTCAGCTCAGGTTATGATCCCAGGATCAAGCCCTACCTCTAGCTCCACACTAAGTGTGGGGCCTGCTTAAGATTCTCTCTCTTAAAAAAAAAAAAAAAAAAAAAAGAGCTAAAAACATAGTAGAAAACATAATGGAAGAAAAGCCCAATTTTTGATGGAAGCTTGTAATGGAGGAGTAAACCATTTGTCAGAACAACAAAACTCATTATTCCCTCAGGCCATTTAAAAATATTTGCTCTTGGGCTATGATTTGAAGCTATTCAGGAGATTAAATAAATATAAATCAAGACTCAGGGCCAACCAAATTTGCAATATATTCTACAAAGATCTTCCCCCATTTTAAGGGACCCCCACAGGGCAACATCCACTGTATATACATATTTATACAATGTAAACATTAATATATCTAAAGATGCTCCCTCATCCCAACTCCAAGGAACCATATGGAAGCCCTCATGATGTTAAGTAGAGCAGAAGAAAAAGAAAAGATGCCTGGGAAATTATAGCTACAGATTGGACCTCATGTGTGTTTATATTTTCAATATGTATATGTCGAGTTGTGAGAAATATCAAGCCATAAACTTGGCTTGCAGTGGTTCCCTACTGATAGTGATTTAAGAATCCTAGCTGAACCCAGGGAAAATATATTTTGAAGAGTGAAACATGCAACCCAGGCTTTGAGGACATCCTAAAAATAAATTTTAAAGGACAATCAAGCATACGAGTCACACAAAGGAACAAAGATAAAAACCAATGAGAAAAATCAGTAACAATACAGCAGAAATAGGCCCATACAAACTTCAGCGTTCAGAAATATCAGACGGGTTTAAAAACCAACTATGCTTACCATATGTAAATAAATAAACATGCTTGAACATTTGCATGGAAAAGAGTGAAAGGGTACATTGACTTTGAAAACATAAAATGTCTAAACAATCATGGGACTATCCTTTAAAAATACATTGTAAACACTAAAAAAAATACATTGTAAACACTATAAACATTGATAAGTTACCATATATATCAAAAAGTATAAATTAAGGTGAGAAGAGGGAGAATGTATAAGAGGATGCCTCATTTTTTAGCAGGCAGTTAAGTGATGCTAATATCTTAATATGCATCATTCTCTCATATTTTAACCTCAAGGAGATTATCTAAGCTTAAGCAAAATCTATAGTTTTATATAATTTTGTTTTATTATATTCAGGTAAAACATAATAGTTTTAATTATTAATCTATGATGAGCACTGGTTCTTTTTTTTTTTTTTTTCTAGGAGAGAGAGAGAGAGACAGTGTGAGCAGGGAGGGTAAGAGAGAGAGGGAGTCACAGACTGAAACAGGCTCCAGGCTCTGAGCTGGCAGTCAGCACAGAGCCCGACGCGGGGCTGGAACCCATGAACCGGGAGATCATGACCTAAGCGAAAGTTGGACGCTTAACCGATTAGGCCACCCAGGCGCCCCTGATGAGCACTGGTTCTTGTGTGTAAGTGATGAATCATTGAATTCTACTCTTGAAACCAATATTACACTATATGTTAACTAATCAGAATTTAAATAAAAATCGGAAAGAAAAAAATTTTTGTTTCCTGTTCATACGGAATGTTTGAATCAGGTGACTTTATCTTATTTTAAAAGAGAATCCTTATTTACATACCCAAATCATTTATTTTGAAAAAGTAATCGTAAGTCTACCAACATTTTTTCTATTTAACAGGGATTGAATTCTTTAAAATTGTGTCAGATGGTATAGTCCAAAGACAGTAGTTTTGAAAGAAAATACTCAACCTAGAAAACTTCCAGATAAAATATTAGTTCCTTTGAAGAAAGACAAAACACTACAGAAATACAACAATTTCCAATGTGATAAAAATTTTTGTATAAATTAAAAGTATCTTTTAAAATTTTAAGTCATCATTTACAATACACTATGCTAATGATAATCAGAAAACACAATTCTCTTAACCATAACAAGATATTAGTGAACAAGCTCAAACATCAGGAACCTGAAAACATTTCTAATCTCCAAAAATCTTATCCCCCCCAAAAAAGATACACCATTTCTCCGCTATTGTCTGAACATGCAAAATATGAACTGCCTAAAAACAACAACAGCAAACACCGAGAGATGCAGAATGTAAAATACTTCAATAGGCTGAAATACCTACAAATACGACAATAATTATTGTGTGGATACGCAGCTCCTTATGTGAATGAACAGGATGCAAACGAATAATACATTAGTTAGTACTATCATTTATCTCCTCTTAAGGTGAGATGCCTAGGTGAACCCAAAATGATTTCTAAAATTAGAGTTTTCCTCGGTGTCCCTACTAGCTGCTTCACCCACCAAGTTGGGAAAAATGGGCTTGAGAAATTTGAACTCACTGGTCCCCGAGCCGCCCCGCAGACACACCTCGTACTGGTAGCTCTGGGACAGCGTCCCCGTGCCGCTGACGTCCACCAGGTGGCCCGGAAAGTGGCCCTCGGGCACCGGGCAGCGACCCGCAGACGCCGCCCGGCTCCGCCTGCACAGCCGCACCGCCACGAACACCAGCACCGAGAACAGGAAGAGCGACGACACGGACGCCAAGGCGATGACCAAGTAGACGGTGAGCGGGTCGGCCTGCGCCTCGGCCGCCGCCACCTCCGGGAGCGGCAGGTAGGGCTGCGAGAAGCCGTCCACCAGCAGCACGTGCAGCGTGACGCTGGCCGAGCGCGGCGGCTCGCCATTGTCCTTGACCAGCACCACCAGCCTGTGCTTGACGGCGTCGCGCTCGCTCAGCAGCCTGGCCGTGCGCACCTCGCCGTTGTGCGCCCACACGCCGAACAGCCCGGGCTCCGTGGCCCTGAGCAGCTGGTACGACAGCCAGGCGTTCTGGCCCGAGTCGCCGTCCACCGCCACCACCTTGGTCACCAGGTAGCCCGCCTCGGCCGCCCTGGGCACCAGCTCGGTGCAGGGCGCAGAGCCGTTCTGCGGCGGGTACAGCACGAAGGGCGAGTTGTCGTTGTCGTCCAGCACCAGCACGCGCACGCGCGCCTGGCTGCTGAGCGCGGGCGAGCCGCGGTCGGCCGCGCGCACGCCGAACTCGAACGCCTGCAGCGCCTCGTAATCCAGGGACCTGAGCGCGAACAGCTGCCCGTTGTCCGCGTTGATGGACACCAGGGAGGCCAGGGGCAGCTGCGGGTCCTGGGGCGGCAGCAGCGAGTAGGTGACGTGGGCGTTGGCGCCCGAGTCTGCGTCTGTGGCGCTGACGCTGCCTAGGTGCAGGGCGGGGCTGTTGTTCTCGCGGACCCGCAGGGTGTAGGTGGTTTGGCTGAAGGCGGGGGCGTTGTCGTTGACGTCGGACACCGTCACGGTGATGTTGTGCTGCGTTTTCAGCCTGGGGGTCCCCAAGTCCGTGACGGTGATGGTGATGTTGTACTCGGCTTGGCTTTCTCTGTCCAGCTCTCCTTCAGTTACCAAGGTGTAGAAATTTTCTACAGTTAGTTTCAGAAGGAAGGGGAGATGGTCTTGGATGGAACACATCATTTTGCCGTTTTCTCCGGAGTCTGGATCCGAAATTCCGAAAACCGCGACCACGGTATCAGGGGTGTTTTCTGGGATATCATTGATGAGTACTGACATTGTCAGTTCGGGGGTGTTGTCGTTTACATCCATCACTTCTATGGCTATAATGCATTTTCCCGAAAGACCCCCGCCATCTGAGGCCTCAATTTCCATACGATAAGATCGCATTTCCTCAAAATCCAACGGTTTTTTTAATCGAATTTCCCCTGTGACTGCGTTTACTTCAAAGGCCTGAATCACTTGATTTGAGGATTGGAAAAATGAGTAGGAGAACTCTCCATAGGTTCCAGTATCTAAATCTGTAGCAGACACGGTGATGACTAGGGAACCTACAGGGCTGTTCTCTGGAACCTGGACCTCATAGAGCAGCTGAGCAAATTCAGGGGCATTATCATTTATGTCCAGGACTACAATGAGAACCTGAGAAGTCCCAGTCCTCGGTGGTGACCCACCATCCAGCGCCGTGAGCATTAACCTGAGCTCTGATTGCTCTTCACGGTCCACCGCTTTGTCCAGCACCAGCTCAGGGTATCTCCTGCCATCACTGTGATTTCGAGTGAAAAGGTGGAAATGGGAGTTGGTGCTAATAGTGTAGTTCTGAACTGTGTTACTGCCCACATCTAAATCTTGAGCTATTTTCAAAGGAAATGCAGTCCCTGGCTGGCTGCTTTCCGAGATTTTCAGGAGGATTTCATTTTCCAGGAATTCTGGGGCATGGTCATTTACATCTCGTAACTGTAGTTCACCCTGAATAAAGTGCACTGGGCTTTTTAGTAACACCTGGAAATGCAGTATGCATGGATCTATGTCACTGCACAACTCTTCCCGGTCCAATTTTTCTTTTAGAAGCAAATTCCCACTCTTCTGCTCAAGCTGTAAATACTGTTGATTTCCTTTCGAAAGAATCCGGGCACCTCGGGCATCCAGCTCCCCTAAACCAAGCCCCAAATCTTTTGCAAGGTTGGCCACAAAAGAGCCGCTTTCCCTCTCTTCTAGAACCGAATACTTAATGGTCATACCGCCTACCTCCCACAGCATTAATAGTATTAATAGGATAATAATGGCGGTCACTTGCCTTTTCTCTGGCGCTATGGGTAGCGGTGTTTCCATCCTTCCTCAGGGCCCAAAAGATGTAGTATTTAATAAAAAAATAATTTCTGTGCAGCCAACTCCTCTATCTTGGTTCAATAATCTTGAGTTCGTTCTTAACACTGACTGATATGGCGATAGCTGCCTTTTGGTAACCTACTCTCCCCTAATGATGTAACAACACTTCCTTTTTGATCAGCTAGAAACTGCTCAGCTATTATGCTGCCTGCAGAGATAGTTTTTCACTTTCTTAGCCTGCAGCGCCACCATGCGTCCTGCCTTACAACTTCAGGTTTCTTGGGTTTTTGTTTTTTGTTTTTCATATCAAAGCACCATGCAGCAGTTAAAACAAACAGAAAGCCTTTTGGGTTATAAACTCACTTCCACCCATTGTAGGTAAAAGGTAGGTAACAATATTTGTGAGAGCAAAAGTAATACCATATATCTATGTCAATATTCATCTTCCTTAAAGGTACAAGGTACAAGTTCAGTACCTTTACTGAAGCAGAGTACAAAACTCTGCTCAAGACAAATACATTTATTCGTTTAACCAATATTTCTCCATGCAAACATTTTTCCAGCTTTGAAGGAGATAAAATGGCAAATTAAACATAAAAGTTCTTCCTCATGGGTGCTTATGTTCAATTACAAAAATACTAATTTGTTGTTAAAATAAGTTATAAATTTTAAAATTTACTTTCTACTCCCAAATTGCAATGTGCTTGTAACTTTTGAAAAAAATTAAAATGTGATTTCTTGTCAGTCTCTGGACTACATAATCTTTGGGGATTTTTTTTTTCCCCTTCATAAATTCACTCCATGCAATGCCCAGTAAGACTAAGAGGAAATGTGTCTTTTCTATAAACATGTAGAAAGCAAAAAAAAAAAGTCAATGGAGTCAAAGATATACTTTCTGGGGAAGGGTTTTGACCTGTCAACATTGGACAGGGGTCCACCCCAGTGTATATCTTCTGGGACTATGGAAAGGAGTATACTGAAAAATACCAGAGCACCAACGAAAGCCAAGTGTTTGCAGTGATCTAGCAGGAAAAGTAATTTCTCCCAAAGAAGAATATTATCCCAAGGAGGAGGGGATAAATATCTAAGAATGCAAAACAATATGTGTTCCCTACACTCATTGAACCAACTAGTAATCACCCATGACAGTTCACTTATTTGTACACAAATCACAGCCAAATATAATTTAGTTCAGGCTACTTCCATTTTAATTAAGGACAAGAATAAAATATTCATTCAGCTGTCACTTAGTATAAATTGCCTGGTTTTAATGAGAAGTTGAAATGAGAAATTTTTCTTAAAATACTACAAATAAAATCACACAATACAAATGTGGGATAAACTGTGAAAGTAAATGATTTTATGGTTAATAAAGATAAATGATGGGGTACCTGGGTGGCTCAGCTAGTTGAGCAACTGACTCGATCTCAGCTCAGGTATTGATCTCAAGGTCATAGTTCAGGACCTGCACTGGTGGTGCACTCCACACTCAGTGTGGAGCCTACTTTTAAAAAAAGATAAATGATACTTACACAGCACTAGAACAGAAAATCTAGCATTACCTAATAACCTGCCACTAAGAGCTTACTTAAGTCTTGGTAGGCATCACACATAAAAAAGCTTGAGAAACTAGGAGGAAGCTATTTTTCAATATAATCTGGATTTTACTAAATAATACATTTGAACTTTCAGATTGTTAGACAAAGACAAGGAGATGAAATATACTCTCAACATTTTATATTCTGTAATAGAGTTTAGAGTGCATGGAGGGAAACAGTTTCCTTCTGTTTAGAAGGAAAATAAAACAATGATACGTAATTTCACTTACTGACAAAGGTACTTCATTAGCATTTTCTGTATTTCTTTAAAATTTTTAAATTCACTATTGGAATTTTAATAACATTCATCAAATATTTATTATACAGTTATAAGTGGCTTGGTATTATTAAAAAAGACTATCATAGGCTTACATGAAGCTCACAAACTGGAGTTTGATATATTGACACTTTTGTAAAGTTTATATGCATAGAAAAATGTATTGACTATGATGGTATATTAAATTACTCATAAATGATTGGTTATCCTCCCATTTAGCCATCTTTAGTATTTATCTTTAGTTATTCACATTGTAGCAGTTACCCCAAATGACAGGCAGATTAAATATCAAACATTCACATTTTATTCCTTTTTTTAAAGTAGGCTCTATGACTAACATGGAACTTGAACTCACCACTGAGGTCAAGACTCCAGTACTCTATGAACTGAGTCAACCAGATGCCCTGAAACTCACATTTTTAAAATTTTCTTACATAGCAATAGTGATGACCATTTTCACTAATAGTTAGATATACAATCCTACTTAAGGACTCTGCATTAAAATTTTTGTAAAATTAATAGACGATTGAGTTTCAAAATGTTTAAATTATTCAAATAAAAATTTACTTTTTATTCAGGCTGTCAAATATAGTTGAGTGAGAGTAACAAAGATCTACTGAACATAATATAGGGAAAATACTGTGTATACTCAGTATCTGATTTTTTACTCAATCTAAGGAAGTGTAATAAATTAATTAAAATCGGACCATCAATAACATGTAACTTTGGGTTAAAACAGATTTTCAAAAGGGCTTAATAGTATACTTAACTGAATAGGAAACTATCCCGAACCTTGGGGCTTTCCTCCATTTCCTTTCCAATGCCCTGGGGAGGGAAGTTCGGAAGAATTGGCTTCAAGAACTTGAACTCACTGGTCCCCGAGCCGCCCCGCAGGCACACCTCGTACTGGTAGCTCTGGGACAGCGTCCCCGTGCCGCTGACGTCCACCAGGTGGCCCGGAAAGTGGCCCTCGGGCACCGGGCAGCGACCCGCAGACGCCGCCCGGCTCCGCCTGCACAGCCGCACCGCCACGAACACCAGCACCGAGAACAGGAAGAGCGACGACACGGACGCCAAGGCGATGACCAAGTAGACGGTGAGCGGGTCGGCCTGCGCCTCGGCCGCCGCCACCTCCGGGAGCGGCAGGTAGGGCTGCGAGAAGCCGTCCACCAGCAGCACGTGCAGCGTGACGCTGGCCGAGCGCGGCGGCTCGCCATTGTCCTTGACCAGCACCACCAGCCTGTGCTTGACGGCGTCGCGCTCGCTCAGCAGCCTGGCCGTGCGCACCTCGCCGTTGTGCGCCCACACGCCGAACAGCCCGGGCTCCGTGGCCCTGAGCAGCTGGTACGACAGCCAGGCGTTCTGGCCCGAGTCGCCGTCCACCGCCACCACCTTGGTCACCAGGTAGCCCGCCTCGGCCGCCCTGGGCACCAGCTCGGTGCAGGGCGCAGAGCCGTTCTGCGGCGGGTACAGCACGAAGGGCGAGTTGTCGTTGTCGTCCAGCACCAGCACGCGCACGCGCGCCTGGCTGCTGAGCGCGGGCGAGCCGCGGTCGGCCGCGCGCACGCCGAACTCGAACGCCTGCAGCGCCTCGTAATCCAGGGACCTGAGCGCGAACAGCTGCCCGTTGTCCGCGTTGATGGACACCAGGGAGGCCAGGGGCAGCTGCGGGTCCTGGGGCGGCAGCAGCGAGTAGGTGACGTGGGCGTTGGCGCCCGAGTCTGCGTCTGTGGCGCTGACGCTGCCTAGGTGCAGGGCGGGGCTGTTGTTCTCGCGGACCCGCAGGGTGTAGGTGGTTTGGCTGAAGGCGGGGGCGTTGTCGTTGACGTCGGACACCGTCACGGTGATGTTGTGCTGCGTTTTCAGCCTGGGGGTCCCCAAGTCCGTGACGGTGATGGTGATGTTGTACTCGGCTTGGCTTTCTCTGTCCAGCTCTCCTTCAGTTACCAAGGTGTAGAAATTCTCTACTGATGGTTTTAGGAGAAAAGGGAGACTGTTATCTATAGAGCAAATAATCTGTTGATTTTGTTCAGAATCTGCATCTGATACACTGAAAACTGCCACTATGATGTCTGGCAGGTTTTCAGGGATAGGATTGAAGAGTGAAGACATGGTCAATTCAGGAGTGTTATCATTTACGTCCAGAACCTTGATGACTAAAGAGCATTTTCCTGATAGTCCCCCGCCATCTGTAGCCTCGATATCCACATGATAAGACTGAAATTCCTCAAAATCCAAAGCCTTTCTCAGTCGAATTTCTCCTGTAATTGCGTTTATTTCGAAGGGCTGATTAATGTCATCTACCTGAAATAGGGCGTAAGATACTTCCCCAAAGGATCCAGCATCTAAATCCCTCGCTGAGACGGTGATAATCAGAGAGCCCAGGGAACTGTTTTCAAGGATTTGCGCCTCATATTGCTCCTGAGCAAACTCAGGGGCGTTGTCATTGATGTCCAAGACCAGAATCCGAATCTCGGTGGTTCCAGAACGGGGTGGAGACCCACCATCCAGCGCTGTGAGGGTAAGCCCAAGCTCGGGCTGCTCCTCACGGTCCAAGGCTTTGTCCAGCACCAGCTCCGGGAACTTCCTGCCATCGCTGCGATTGCGAGTGAGAACGTGAAAATGAGGATTGGAGCTGATTATGTAGCTCTGAAGACCGTTGCTACCAGCATCTAAATCCTGTGCCATTTTCAAAGGAAACAGCTTTCCTGGTGTAGTAATTTCTGATATTTTTAGTAGCATTTCTCTGGCTGGGAACTCTGGGGCGTGGTCATTTATATCTCTAACTCCTAAAGCAGCCTGAAAAAACTGCAAGGGATTTTCCAGTAACACTTGGAAAGGTAGGACACAGGGCTCAGTGGAGCCACACAGCTCTTCCCGGTCTAGTTTCTCATTTAGCAGCAAATCATAGGTGTGTGGGTCAAGCTGCAAATGCTGCCTGTTCCCCTTGAAAACGACCTGAGCACTCCGCGCAGCCAGCTCTCCTCTCCTGAGTCCCAGGTCCTTTGTCAAATTGGCCACAAACGTGCCACTTTCTGTCTCCTCCAGTACAGAATATTGAATCGATTCTGAACCCACTTCCCACAAAATCATCCATATAATGAGGATAGCCACTTGCCTTTTCTTGCGATGTACTTCTGTTTGTGCCATCTCTGTTATGTCTGATTCCAGAGGAAAAAATCCTTTTCCAGTCCCAGTCACCAGGTCCACCATCTACCCTCCATAATCTGTTGCTGTTGAATTTCGAATTTGTCTTATGACTTGTCTGGTGACGACTGCCTTCCTCAATACTTCTATCTTTGCTTTAGCTGTAAATGTGTTCTGTATTTGGTGGGAGGGAGGTCTCTGAATAAAATGGAGTCCACCGAATCTGCAGAGCTTTTATTCACTCTCTTAGCCTGCACTGCCACCACGCGTTCAAATTAATAACTTCAGGAGGCGCATACAAGTGATACGATTCCCAAAATCTGAGCATTATAAAGACTTTGAGGTGGAGTCAGTGTTTCTCAAACTGTAGTGTGTGAACCATATGCATAAATAATTACTTGAGAGTCTTGAGTTGTTGTTTTTTCCAAAGTCAACTCCTGGGCTTCCCTCTAGATCTTGAATCAAATTATCTGGAGGTGCTAACAGATATGTGCACTTCAATCTTTGTCTTTAAGTGATTCTCATGCATACTAATGTTTAAAAATCACTACCTCAGGTAATGTAAACTTACTATAATCAGCTTTTGTTCTTTGGCAATGAAATTATATCTGATGAGTAGTGTGATTTGTGAATCCAAGAAGTACATTATTTAATTGATTATAAACAAATCAACAAAGTACAAAATCTAAACGTTGGTTAACAATATCAATTATAAAATAAAAAATTATTTCTCTAAGTTATAAGGCTCATAAAATGGCATGAGCAACAGACCTACTTTATTTTTGTGTTTACACCCACACAATAAGGGAAACAATAAGGTTATTAGGAAAACTGAGGTCAAGAAATAATTAGGATAGAAGTATCTAATCAATTAAATTATTTAAAAGAGGAAGTAGCAACAATTAGTAGTCTATCATGAGTACACATTTTGGGACTTTACTTCATTTTGTACAGGTAGAATTGGTCATGATTTTATTAGGCTTGTTTATTGTAATTTTTAAATCAAATTTCCCTCCTATATTAATCAAGGCCCAAATGTATTACCCTGTTGTAAGGACATAATGCAATGCAGAAAACAAGCATTCAAGAATCACCTCTACCACCCTCCCACAACAAAGATGATATGAGTTTCTATAAACATGCAATAAGGTAATGTGAAAAGTAAATTACATTTGAGTGGATTCCACAGAATTCAATGAAGGTTCATCATGGCTATCTCCATTTCTATCTCATCAATTTCTATTCAGATTAATAGGAAAACATGCCTTTAAACATCCTGAAAATACATGAACTGGGTCAGTGTACATATAAGAACACAAAATGAGCCAAGCATAATTTCATTTCAGATTGATTTCATATTTATTGAGAGATGAATTCAGTTGAGTTCAACGAAAGTTCATTTCAGATAATAGCCAAAATGATGGAAGATTAAAAATGAGGATCTTTGGGTCGCCTGGGTGGCTCAATCGGTTAAGCATCTGACTTTGGCTCAGGTCATGATCTCATAGTCCATGGGTTTGAGCCCTGCATCAGGCTCTGTGCTGACAGCTCAGAGCCTGGAGCCTGCTTCAGATTCTGTGTCTCTCTCTCTCACCCCTCCCCCACTCACACTCTGTCTCTCTCTCTCAAAATAAAATAATAAAGACATAAAAACAATTAAAAATGAGGATCTTTTTCAAAATGTTTCAACTCTAAAATAAGTAGAGCTAAATAAAATTTAAACTCTGAATATATGAAATAATTTTGTAGTTAAAAAGCCCTCTATCTATCCAGAAGGATAAAAAAATAAGATCACAGTGACTAGCTCCCATATTTCACTTGATGAATGTTACCGAGAATAGACTTCCTTGAGGGTATGAACCACAGAATAAACTGATGAAATAAAACCCACAACCATAAACACATTAGATGGGTGTAGTTTCTTTGAAACAAAGCAATTTTCAGCCCAGCCCTGAAGGCTTCCTTCTTTCAGGGGTTATTCTGATTCCAGCTTAATGGGATCCCAGACACTTGTGGAGTCCTTCATTTACTCTGTTGGCCTGCAGCACCACCACACATGTTCATAGATAACTTACTGAATCCTTTTTCATTTTAAAGCAAGTTTTGCTAGCAGTACAGTATCTATAAAACTCAATTTAGATCACTGAAATGTCTTGGAGGACATTGCTTGTTATTATAGAAAGCAAGAACATAATAATGTATTCTCCAAGGGTATCAGTTGGTATGTGAATAAACTGCCTTTTTATGGAAGTGGGTTACTTTAGATTCTTTCAGGAGACTGCTTCTCTGTTTTACTCTCTTTTGCTTTGCTTTGCTAGAGTAGAATTGAATTGACGCTGATAAACTTGTCTCACAAGTAATAACTCATTATTGTTTGTTTATTGTGGAACAAGTTCAATACATACAAGGCAAATAGCATAACTTCCATGTACACATCACCCACCTTCAAAACATCTTGTCTTGTTTCATCTTTGTCTTTCCCTCCACCTTCCATCTCCCAGTCAATGCTCATTTTTGTATAGTTGTTTTAAGGTAATGTTTACCCAAATTGAAATGTACCAATCTTAACTGTGCCAGTTTAACAAGGGATCCATCCATGTAACCCACACCTCTTTCAAGGTATAGAACATTTCCTTCATTCATTAGGAGTCTTCTTAATCACATTCCAGCGTAATTTTAATAATTAGGTGGCAAAACCTTGGTCTCCTCTAGACACAACATATAAAGGTAAAGAATGTAAAAAAACACCATGCCCAATACTCGTGTCCATACTTATGGTCATGTATGCTTATGTGAAGTGAAAGATCAAGCTGATTTTCATTTTTATGCCACAAATATTTGTTTTCCTTTCATTCCATTATAAATTTTAAAAATTCTTCAAATTTACTAAAAGTGAAAGATAAACTCTCAAGGTTCGTCTTAGAACTCTTTAATTTTGTTATAAATCTGTCAAAATGTTTTTTTAAACATTTTTTTTCTAGGAGAGAGAGAGACAGCGTGAGCAGGGGAGGGCCAGAGAGAGAGGGAGTCACAGACTGAAACAGGCTCCAGGCTCTGAGCTGGCAGTCAGCACAGAGCCCGACACGGGGCTCGAACCCACGAACCGCGAGATCATGACCTAAGCAAAAGTCGGACGCTTAACCGACTAAGCCACCCAGGCGCCCCTGTCAAAATGTTTTCTTAATGTAAAAAAATTTTTTAATATATTTCTGAGAGACAGAGAGAGAGACAGTGTGAGCAGGGGAGGGTCAGAGAGAGAGAGGTAGACACAGAATCTGAAGCAGGCTCCAGACTCTGAGCTGTCAGCACAGAGCCTAACGCAGGACTGGAACCCACGAACCATGAGATCATGAGTCGGACGCTTAACCGACTGAGCCACCCAGGCACCGCTAAATCTGTCAAAGTCTTATTTAATTTAGCGATATGCAAGGAAAAATAATAATTCAAGGCAAAGATCAGAAATATGTGAGCAGTCACTTAAAGAACTCTCTCAATTGATGGGAGAAAGAAATGATGCAGAAAAGCTTGAAAATATAAAGGAATTGATGCCAAACACATTTGAAATCTCAAATGTTTGGGGAAGAAGGCTTCCTTGCTAGATGTCTGTCAATTTTATATTTTTCAAAGAATCAACTTTTTATATCACTGTTATTTTTTATATCTCTGTAATTTTTATTTGTAATTTCATTGGTTTCTTCTATTATTTTTACCATTTCTTTCCTCCTGCTTCTCCTCCTTGCTTTGGGTTTATTTTTCTCTTATTTTTCTAGATTCTTGAGGTGGGAGATTAGATGACTGAGACTTTTCCTCTTTTCTTTAAAAAATATTTTAGGCTTATTTTTGAGAGAGAGAGAAAAACAGCACATGCTCACAGAAGCGGGCAGAAAGAGGAGACAAGAATCCCAGACAGGCTCCACACCGTCAGTGGAGAGTTCCACGCAGGGCTGGAACTCACTAAATGAACTGTGAGATCATGATCTAAGCTGAAATCAAGAGTCAGATGCTTAACCGAGTGAACCACCCAGGCGCCCCTTCCTCTTTTCTAATATATGTGTTTAGTGCTATAAATGTCCCTCTCTGCACTGCTTTAGCTGTGTCTTATAAATTTTAATTTGTTATCTTTTCATTTTCAATTCAGCTTGATGTATTTTATATATCTTAAGACTTTGCCTTTGATCCATGAATTAGAAATGTTTAGTTTTCAAGCACTTGAAGATTTTCCTGTTATTTTATGTTTGATTTTTTAGTTTGATTCTATTGTGATTGAAGAACCCACACTGTATGATTTCAATTCTTTTAAATTTGTTGAAGTTTGTGTTATGGCCTTGTTTATGTAGACTATCTTGCATTTGTTATGGAAGCATTTGAAAAGAATGTGAATTTTGTTGTTTTTAGCTAGGTGTTCTATAAATATGGATTAGATCCATCCTGTTGATGGTGTTGTTCGGTTCTGTGTTCTTGCTGATTTTCTGTCTTATTGTTCTATCACTTGTTAAGAGAGGGTGTCGAAGTATCCAGTTTTTATTGTAGATCTGTTTCTTCTTTCACTTCTTTCAGTTTTTGCTTCAAATATTTTGTAACTTTGTTGTTTGTTTGTAAATCTGTATGCATATTTAGGAATGCTATGTCTTCTTTGATCATTATATAATGTCCTACTCTGTCTCCGGTCATTTTCTTTCCTCTGATGTCATTTTATCTGACATTAGTATGGCCACTCCTGATACATTTTTATCAACATTTACATAATATATTTTCCATCTTTTTACATTCAATCTGCCTTTATCATTATATTTGAAGTGAAGTTTCTTATGGACAGCATACAGTTGGTCATTTTTTTTTTTAGGTTTTATTTATTTCTGAGAGAGAGAGAGAGAGAGAGAGAGAGCGCATGAGGGAGACACAAAAACCAAAACAGGCTCCAGGCTCTGAACTAGCTGTCAGCACAGAGCCTGACACGGGGCCCAAACCCACAAAACACAAGATAATGACTCGAGGCGAAGTCGGACACCCAACCGACTGAGCCTCCCAGGCGCTCCCAGTTGGTCATTTTTTAAACACTTTCTATTGATCTCTTTGCTTGGATTGGTGTGTTCAGACTATTTACATTAAATGTAATTACTGATATGTTAGAGCCTAAGCCTGACATTTTATTTTTTGTTTTCTATTTGTTCTGTTTTTTGTTTCTCTGTTTACTTTTTCCTGCCTTTCTTGTAGGTTATTAGAACATTTTTAGAATTCCACTTTATCTATAGCATGTTTTGGTATATCACATTGTATAGCTTTTATAGTAGTTGTTCCATACACAACTTATTACAGTTTACTGGTATTGTCATTTTACCAGTTTAAGAGAAGGGTGGAGAACTTACCACCCTTTATATCGCCTCAACCACCCCCATTTAAAATTGTCTTAAATATTTCATCACTATATACTTAGAACTATATCAGACATAATCAGATATAATTTGGGATTCAACCATTAAACATAATTTAGAAAACTCAGGGGGAGAAGGAAGGTCTATTGCATTTACCCATATTTTTGTTTATTGTGTTTTTCTTCTTTCCTGATGTTCCAAGGTTCTTTTTTAAATTGATTCCTTTCCGTTTGGAGAGCTTCCACCAGCCATTCTTTTAGAATAGGTCTACTGGCAACAAATTCTCTTCCTGAAAGATATTTTCACTGGGTATAGGATTCTTTTAACACTTTTCTTTCAGCACTTGAAAATATGTGTCACTTCTTTCTGACTTACATGGGTTTTGATGAGAAATCTACTGTCATTCAAATTGTTATTGCTCTATGAGTAATGTGTCCTTTCTCTTTCACTGCTTTTAAGGTTTTTTCCTTCTCTTTAGTTTTCAGAAATTTCACTACAATGTCTTTTGGTGTGGATTGCCAAATTTGATGTCATGAGGATTCCCCCCTATGTTTTCAGCATGTCACTCTTCCGCTGTGAAGTTGCCAGGATCTCTCTGCATCCTGCAGCAACAAATATCAACACTTCTCCTGGGGAATAAATAGAAATACTCAAAATTAAGTGAGGGACTCACTTTAAAAGAGGATGGAGTGGAAAAACCAAAGATGTAAAATAAAAGAGAAATATAAGAATCAGAGAAATTATTGAGAATGTTTAATATCTGACAAACACAGTGTTCAGAAAAAAAATAAAGTCAGGAATACAGTTATTAAGGAAATAATAGAAGAGATGAAATGATCCCAGATATGAAAAGGCAGGAATTTTTATAATTTATAAGACATTAAATGACATCTATACTATATAACACATCTATGAAGTATAAAAGAAAACTAAACGCATTTTCAGACATGCAGAGACAGAGTTTATTTTTCGTGTACCCTCTCTTAGGTATCCACTTGAAGATATACTGTAGCACAGAGAGGGCTTTAAAAATAGGAGATAAGTAATCTATCAAAAAATGGACTTAAGTAGAAGAGGTATAAAAACAAGATGATAGTTTTTCACACATTTAGAGATTATTTAGTTCAGACAGAAGCAGGAAGATAGAGAGCTTCAGGTAAGAATTATAGGAACTTGAATTATTGATTTAGAAATACTTGAAGATATGGTATAGCCAACTGATGGAATCTAAAATGGTGAATCTCACCATCATTTCATGGTGATGCTCAGTTGGCTCAGCATTTGACTTTTGATTTCTGTTCAGGTCCTGATCCCAGGGTCGTGGGACCGAGCCCCACATCAGCCTCCACACTAAGCGTGGAACCTGCTTGGGATCCTCTCTTTCTCTCCCTGTGCCTCTCTTCCCCGCTTGCATGGTCTCTCTCTCTTTTATTTATTTTTTTTATATTTTTATTTATTTCTAGGAGAGAGAGAGAGACAGCGTGAGCAGGGGAAGGTCAGAGAAAGAGGGAGATACAGACTCTGAAATAGGCTTCAGGCTCTGAGCTGGCAGTCAGCACAGAGCCCGACGCGGGGCTCGAACCCACGAATCGCGAGATCATGACCTAAGTGAAAGGTGGACGCTTAACTGACTGAGCCACCCAGGCGCCCCTCTCTCTCTCTTTTAAAAAGGAAATATATATATACATGGAATTGGGTTGGTTCTACCTCTTGCCAGTTGTGAATACTGCTGCTATGAACATGGGTGCACAAATATCTTTGAGACTCTGCTTTCAATTCCTTTAGGTATATACCCAGAAATGGGATTGCCTGATCATATAGAAATTCTCTTTTACATTTTTTTGAGAAGGCTCCATACTGTTTTTTTTTTAGCAGTTGCACCATTTTACAATCTCACCAACAGTGCACAGAGGAACTAGTTTCTCCACATCCTTTTGAAAGCTTGCTATTTTCTGTTTTTTGATAGCAGTCATCCTAATCTGTGTAAGGTGACACTATGTTGTGGTCTAGATTTCCATTTCTCTGATGATTAGTGATGTTGAACATTTTTTCATATGTCTGTTGATCATCTGCATATCATCTTTGGAGAAATGTCTAAGTCCTTTGTTCATTTTTAATCAGGTTATTTGATATTTTCTTCTTTTTGTTGGGTTGTAGGAGTTCTTAAAAATTATGGACATTAACCCTGTATCAGATACAGTATTTGCAAATATTTTCTCCCATTCCACAGGTTGCCTTTTCACTGTTGATTGTGTTCTTTGGTTTACAAAAGTTTTTAAGTTTTATATAGTCTAATTTGTCTATTTTTTTTTTGTTCCATTTGCTTTTAGTGTCATATCCAAGAAATCACCACCAAATTCAATGTCATGAAGCTTTTCTCCAATGCTTTCTTCTAGCAATTTTACAGTGCAATGAATATTTTGAGAAAATCAGCCTCCTAAACATAGGAACTGGACTGGCACTCACAAACAGGCCATGATCTTCTCCTGTTGAATATAAACAACTTCACAGAACAACATCATTAAAGAGGGATTGTGATCAGATGGAACAAAACCACAATAAAATTACATCATGATCATGCTTGAACACAGTAAAAAACAAGAACATTGTATGAACCAAAACAATGACCAGAGTCCTCTCTCTTGGCTGATTATGGGTGAATGCTGGTTTTTAAACAACCAATTACAGTTTCACTTTGTTCTCATCTCCTGAATACAATTCAATAAGATGCCCTGTAATAGAATTATTCCCATTCAGTGGAGCATCCAGTCCAGGGTTACTTCCTTGAACCCTATGCAAAATCACCTAACACAAGCCCAATCCCTTTTTAAGGTGATGTTACTAAAGAGACCAATGCTTTCCCAGAATGTGCAGTCTCCCTCATTACAACAAGTCAATAAACTCAACTTTGTTCTGATACAGTGTGTCCTAGTGATCTTTGGCTACAGGGCATTCATAGTTTATATGGTCATTAAAAGTGGATTTTTAATATCGATTTTCAGGTTTTAAACAGATATACAGACAAAAGGGGGAATTCTATTCTTAGCTATGATTATAGAGTAGAAATGTCATCAACCTTGACTCTATAAAAGTTAATTTGATAGAGGTTGGAAAGCATAAGGGAGAAGAAGGAAGAGGGGAAGAAAGAATCGTATTCTTTTCTGTCATACAAGTAAATGAAAGGAACTGTTAGTTGAACAATAAATGGAGGTTTCAGCTTGTTCAGGGAAGTAGTGGGAAATAGTGACGGAGATCTATGTAAAGGATGAATGAGAGAAGTTTTAAGTGTGCTAGGTACTAGACAACAGTAGCAGGAAATTCAGGAAATTGTTTAGAGCTTATGAAAAAGTTACAAACATATTCTTTAGTAATAAAAAAATGAATATAAAAAGAACTAGAAATAAAAGGTTTAAAAGCACTCTCCAATGGGATAAAATGAAAAACAAATTATACTGAGTGTTGGCAAAAATGCAGAGGAACTGGTACATCCAGACAGTGCTGATAGCAGTGTAAACTGGTACAACCACTTTGGAAAACTATTTGGAAGAATCTACTAAAAGGGAACATGTACATACTAAATGAGCAGCAATTCCACCCCTACATATATACCAACAGAAATGCATGTACATGTTTGCCAAAGGACATGTATGAGAATGTTCAAAGCAATATTATTCAAACAGCCAAATCCTGCACCAACCCAAATATCCACCTGTAGTGGGGTGGGCCATAAATTGTAAAATATTCATACAGTGGAATAACTATACAGCAATGAGAATGAAAATTAAAATTAAAAGCATTATCATGGAAAAATATCATAAACATAATGTTGAGTGAAATCAGCCAGACACAAAATGGTTCATACTCTACTAATACAATTATATAAATTCAAAACAGGCAAAACTAAATCATAGTGTTGGAAGTCAGAATATTTGTTATACTTGGGCTGGTAGTGACATTAAGGGGTATTTTGTGTGGCACTTGAAATGTTAGTAACCACCAAGATGCTGGTACCAACTATGTTCACTTTCTGAAAGCACATTGATATTATGATTTGTTCCCTTTTCTGTATGTGTAATTCAGTAAAATGTGTTTGTTTAAAAAAACGTTTGCCAGTCTGGATGAAAGCTAGTAATGAAGAGTAGACAGAAGATTGTTGCTTATTGTCAAGTTTCCTCATATACTACATTCATTATCATTTGCATGTATTCCTTCAAAAAAAATAAATTATGTAAAACTTTTTATTTTTGCTATTTAGCATCAAAAACAGAACGGATAGAATACAGGGGAAAAAACGTATTTGGTTTCATTAAGTAAGTTTATCCTGACAAATACCATCAAAAGCAAACATTTCAGGAAACTCAACAGCATGCATAGATTTGGGTTGGCACTGTGTGTACATGAACGAGGTGACACAGAATTCAGTTTTCCCAAACTGGGCAAGATAAAGTTGAAAAAGATAAATTCAGAGAAATCATACCTGTAGGTGGGATTTTTCTCCACGACGCTCTCAAACTCGGTATTTGGGAGAAATTGGAGAAAAATGACAAAACTCACAGCATTGTGATCAGATCCCTAACTGAATTCAAAGCTATTCCGGAAGGTGGCGTTTTCCTCTATTTCTTCACCAGCGCCCTGGGGCAGAAAGTTGGGAATAATTGGCTTCAAGAATTTGAACTCATTGGTTCCAGATCCACCCCGCAGACACACCTCGTACTGGTAGCTCTGGGACAGCGTCCCCGTGCCGCTGACGTCCACCAGGTGGCCCGGAAAGTGGCCCTCGGGCACCGGGCAGCGACCCGCAGACGCCGCCCGGCTCCGCCTGCACAGCCGCACCGCCACGAACACCAGCACCGAGAACAGGAAGAGCGACGACACGGACGCCAAGGCGATGACCAAGTAGACGGTGAGCGGGTCGGCCTGCGCCTCGGCCGCCGCCACCTCCGGGAGCGGCAGGTAGGGCTGCGAGAAGCCGTCCACCAGCAGCACGTGCAGCGTGACGCTGGCCGAGCGCGGCGGCTCGCCATTGTCCTTGACCAGCACCACCAGCCTGTGCTTGACGGCGTCGCGCTCGCTCAGCAGCCTGGCCGTGCGCACCTCGCCGTTGTGCGCCCACACGCCGAACAGCCCGGGCTCCGTGGCCCTGAGCAGCTGGTACGACAGCCAGGCGTTCTGGCCCGAGTCGCCGTCCACCGCCACCACCTTGGTCACCAGGTAGCCCGCCTCGGCCGCCCTGGGCACCAGCTCGGTGCAGGGCGCAGAGCCGTTCTGCGGCGGGTACAGCACGAAGGGCGAGTTGTCGTTGTCGTCCAGCACCAGCACGCGCACGCGCGCCTGGCTGCTGAGCGCGGGCGAGCCGCGGTCGGCCGCGCGCACGCCGAACTCGAACGCCTGCAGCGCCTCGTAATCCAGGGACCTGAGCGCGAACAGCTGCCCGTTGTCCGCGTTGATGGACACCAGGGAGGCCAGGGGCAGCTGCGGGTCCTGGGGCGGCAGCAGCGAGTAGGTGACGTGGGCGTTGGCGCCCGAGTCTGCGTCTGTGGCGCTGACGCTGCCTAGGTGCAGGGCGGGGCTGTTGTTCTCGCGGACCCGCAGGGTGTAGGTGGTTTGGCTGAAGGCGGGGGCGTTGTCGTTGACGTCGGACACCGTCACGGTGATGTTGTGCTGCGTTTTCAGCCTGGGGGTCCCCAAGTCCGTGACGGTGATGGTGATGTTGTACTCGGCTTGGCTTTCTCTGTCCAGTGGTCTTTCTGTAACTACGGTGTAAAAGTTCTTGAAAGTGGGTTTCAAGAGAAAGGGGAGATCATTCTGGATGGAGCAAACCATCCTACCATTGTCCCCGGAGTCTGGATCAGAAACACTGAAAACAGCAACGACAGTCTCTGGGGAGTTTTCTGGGGTAGAGCTTGTGAGCGTTGACATGGTCAGTTCAGGGGCATTGTCATTCACATCCACAACCTCTATAGCTACAGTGCATTTTCCTGAAAGGCCTCCACCGTCTGTGCCTACAATTTCCACATTATAGTATCGAGTTGCCTCAAAATCTAATGCCTTTTTCAGACGAATTTCTCCTGTTATTTCGTCTACTACAAATGGTTGAGTAACTTGATTGCCTTGGAATAGAGTGTAGTGTACATTCCCATATGTTCCTGCATCTAAATCTTGGGCAGAGACAGCGACAACTAAGGAGTTTGGGGGGCTGTTCTCAGGGACCTGTACCTCATAGAGCGATTGTAAAAACTCAGGGGCATTATCATTGATATCCACGACTTCAACCCGGACTGCAGTGGTCCCGGACCTGGGCGGATCCCCACCATCCAGCGCTGTAAGGGTTAAAATGAGTTCAGACTGCTCCTCCCGGTCCAGCGATTTATCCAACATGAGCTCTGGGTATTTTCTGCCATCTCCGCGATTATGAGTGACAACATGAAAATGGGAGTTGGGGCTGACTGTGTAGTTCTGAACAGCGTTGCTACCTATGTCAAGGTCCTGAGCTATTTTCAAAGGAAATACAGTCCCTGGATGAACGCTCTCTGGGATTCTGAGGAACATTTCCTTGTCTAGGAACTCTGGGGAATGGTCATTTATATCTGTGAGCTGCAGATCAGCCTGAAAAAACTGCACCGGGTTTTCCAGTAATAACTGGAAGTACAGTATACAGGGATCTGTCACTCCGCACAGAACCTCCCGGTCTAGTTTTTCATATAGTAGCAAATTCCCGGTTTCTACATCCAGCTGCAAGAGCTGTTTGTTTCCTTTGTAATGGATTCGCGCTCCTCGAGAAGCTAGTTCCCCCACCCTTAGCCCCAGGTCCTTTGCCAGGTTGGCCACAAAGGAGCCACTTTCTGTTTCTTCTGGCATAGAATACCTAATTGCATCAGAGCCAGCCTCCCACAAAAGCAACAATATAGCAAGAAAGAGAACTTGCCTTTTCTGTGGCTTTTTTGCTAGCGCAGTCTCCATTGTTAAGACCAAATTCAAGAGGTGCAGTTTCTTCAACTCTGTATACAGTCGACACAGATAATTTGGTTAAATAACGTTGAATTAGATCTTTTTGGCTGACTAGCCCTAGAATGATGTCCTCTCTGAAGTTATCTGCCTCTCAATCTTACCTAAAATGCTTCCTTCTTTCAGGAAGCATTCATTGTTCTGTGTCCCAGCTTAATGGCGCCCGGCAGAGCCACATAGCTTTTCATTCATACTCCTAGCCTGGAGCGCCACCAGGCGTCCTTATTTACTATTGCATATAGTATTTGCCATTTCATTCCAAATTTTAGCTTTAGTCATATCAATGTCCTTGTAAGTCACAGAAGTGCAACCCAATTGTTTATCCAGTTTCTAAGTATTGGAAATCCTATAGAAATATCTGTTGGGTTAACTTTCAGTGAAAGAATACTTTTCAGAACTAAATTGATATATATTAGTGTTCCTCATAAAATACATTTTGAGAAGAAACTTTTTCTTGTGGGTTTCTTATTATATTCAAGAAATAGATAACTGATGTTTATAAAAGTTTACAATTTTACAAAAGTTATTATTTTGAAATATACATTTTTCAAAAAAGGGTACAAATTCTAAGTACAACTCAATGCATTTTCATGACGTGAGTCCACTCCTATACGCAGAACCTAAATTAAAATGTTCCCCAAACCCTTGAGGCCCATTTCTGTTTGTCTGCTCATTACCCTTCCTGCTAAATGTAAGCATGCTTCTGACTTCTATTATCATATATTTGTTTCTTTTTTGAGCTTTCATACACGTGGACTTATGGAGTATTTCTCCTTTATGTTTGGGTTCTTTTACTCAGCATTATGTTTGTAAGATTCATCTGTTACATAATGTCCTAATATATTTTATTCTCAGTGCTTTAAATTATTCTACTGTATGACTGTATTATTATTTATCTATTCTCCAGTTGATTGGGTGTTCTACTAAGAGGATATTTTGGATAGTGCTGCTATGAACATTCTTATACATGTCTTTTGGTGTCTATGGGAGCATTTATGTTGAATATGTTCCTAAGAGTTAGACTTCTGTGTTATATGACATGAATATATATTTAGCTTTAACAGATATCGCAAAAGTTTACAAATGTGGTTTCACCAAAACTAGCAAAGAATGACTGTTCCAGTTGCTCTGTGTCCTTGTCAACACTTGATATTGTCTTTTAATTTTAACCACTCTGTTGAGAGTGTAGTGATATCATATTGTAACTTTAATTAGCATCTCCCTGATTAATTAAACTGAGCACTTTTTTCACAAGTTTAATGGCCATTAGGATACATTCTTGCGAAGTGCTTGTCTTTGGTCTACTTTTCTATTTAGGCATTTGCCATTTTTTCTTATCAATCTTTAGATGTTCCTTATTATATTCTGAGTATAAGCACTTTTTCAAAAGTATGTATGGCAAATATCTTCTCCCACTCTACGGCTTGCATTTTAGTTCTCTTGTGCTATCTTTGATGAACAAAACTCCTTATCTTTAGTCTAATTTATTAATATTTTTTATTTATGGTTTTAAGACTTTTTGTGTTCTTGGGGTGCCAGTTGGTTAAGTATCCCATTCTTGTTTTCGGCTCGGGTCATAATCTCATGCTTTGGGGGACTGAGCCCCTAGTGTGGCTCCTTGCTGAGCATAGAGCCTGCTTGGAATTCTCTCTTCTTCTCTCTCTGCCACTCCCCTGCACTTCCTCTCTCTCTTAAAATAAATAAACATTAAAAAAACCCTTTTTGTGTTCTCTTGAAACCTTGACATATCCCAAGGTCATGGAAATATTCTGGTATGGTGTTTTTGAAAAATCAATTGCTTTACCTTTCACGTTTAGAGCTATAATCTTCCTGAAATTTTTTCATATGAATGGTTAGGGTTACATCCTTTTTCACAAAAATATCCAAATATTGCACTATCTTTTGAGAAGATCCATTCCCTTTTGTTTTTGAAGTGTCATTTTTGTTATAAATCAGTGACCATAGGTCTGTTCCAGACCCTTCTTTCCATTTTTCTCTTCATTTGTCCCACAATACCATATTTTCTTAATTATTATAGCTTTATAATAGTCATTATTGGGGCATCTGGCTGGGTCCTTCAGAAGAGCTTGTGACTCTTGATCTCAGGGTTGTGAGTACATGTGGGGTGTAGAAATTACCTAATAAATAAGTCCTCCACTTTTATTCTGTTTCTTTAAGATTGTTTTGGTTATTATTGTCCCTTTGTATTCCTATATAAACTTTAGATTTGGCTTGTCAATTTTTACAAAGAAATGTGCTGAAATTTTGTTTAGAATTGTATTCCATTTATAGATTGAGGAGAATTGAAATATTCCCAACATTGAGTCTTTCAACTACTGAAAATTATATATCCTCTATTTATTTAGATCTTTAACCTTTCTCAGTATTTTATAGTTTTTCAGTCTATAAGTTCTTACACATATTCTGTTAGATTTGTTTCTAGGTATTTGATATTTTTAAACAGTTGCAAATGATACTTAAAACTTTAAATTTTATTATTTTTGTTGCTATCAGAAATACAATTTATATTTGTATGCCACCTTATCACCAGTGGAGTTGCTAACTGCATTTATTAAGCCTAATCATCAAGAGATTCTTTATGACTTCTTATATGTATAATTATGTCATTTTTTAAAGTTTATTTATTCATTTAGTGAGAGATAAAGAGAGAGAGCACAAGAAGGGGAGAGTCAGAGAGAAGGAGAGACAGAATCCTAAGCAGGCTCCGCACTGTCAACACAGAGCCTGGTGTGGGGCTTAAACTCATAAACATTGAGATCATGATGGGAGAAGAAATCAGGAGTCAGACACTTCACCAACTGAGCCACCCATGCGCCCCACAGTCTGAAAACTTTGGGTTGTTTAATTGGATTATTTAATCTAACCATGATTGATGTAATATTTGATAATTCTCCATTTATATTTACCATCTATTTATTTTTCTATTTGTCCCTAAAGTTCTGTTCTTCTTTTTGGATTATTCAGATATTTGTTATTTTTCATCTTCTTTCCATTTGTTTTTTACTTAATCTTGTAGTAATTGTCCTACAGATTAAAAGCATATATCTTTGACCTACAAGAGTCTAATACAACTTTTTAAATATTACTACTTCCATGAGAATGCTTAGAACCTTAGAACTCATCAACTGTATCTATACCATCTTCCTTTTACATTATTTTCATGAATTTACATTTTGTATATATTTTACATTCTTTAAGAAACTACTATTTTTGCCTTGTATAATCAATATTAATTTATATTTATCCCTCCTGTTGCTCTTCATTTCTTCCTGCAACTCTGATTCCTTTAGGGCTGTTCTCCCTCTGCCCAGTGAATTCCACTAAAAGTATTTGTGGAAATACTGTGCAAATGTGACCGTGATTAATTCTCTTGGTTTTAATCTGTTTGAGAACTTTATTTTTGAAAGATATTTTCTGATAATAGAAGAGTGCTAATCTGGTTTCTTTTTCCCACGACCTTAACGACATCATTTCTTTGTCTGTTGGTTTCATGATTTATGTTGAAAAGTCGGCTCTCCATTTTATTGTTGCTCCTTTAAGAGTAATGTGTCATTATCATGTGGTTGCTTTCAAGATTTTCTCCTTGACTCTGGTCTTCAGCAGTTTTTCCTATGATATTTCCTAGGTGTATTTTGTATTTTATTTCTCTTGATTCGGTTTCCCTGAGCATTTAGTGGTGAAGGATTTGCACAAATTCTTGGTCATTAGCTCTTCAAAAATCACTTATTCTCCATTCCTAGTATTTCTTCTTTTAGGATTATAGTCCTGCACATATTAGAGTTTTTCATTATGTCTCACATGTCACTAATGTTCTTTTCTGTATTTTTTATGATTTTTTTCTATGCTTCTTTTTGGATATTTTATATAGGCCTGTCTTTAATTCACTAATCCTGTATTCCTTTGTATCTACTAAATCAAAAACTACTTTAATAGTTTTTAATTTCAGATATTATATTTTTCAGTTCCGTAATGAATTTCCATTTTAAATTTCAATTCTCTGGTGAAATTCTCTTTTAGTTATATTCTCTATTCTTTGTTTGTTATCTATTAGTCATACTTATTTTAACATCATTGTCAGTAAATTCTAGTATCTGTTTGTATTCTCTGTTTTTTCTCTAAGTTTTATTAATGTCAACCAGTTTTTTGTATGTCTTCCTAGTAGTTGTTTACTGAATGCTCAATATTTATGTAAAAAGCTGTCCAGGATCCAGATGATATTATCTTCCTCCAAAAAGAGTTCACCTTTTCCTGTTAACTTGATAGAGTCATGTGAAATCCAATTTCCTTAATCCAAACAGGCACTATACTTAGTCAAGGTGCTTTGCAGTCCTAATAATAACCTAACCCTCCAGAATGATCAGTTGAGAACTTAATATTTTCCACAGTCCCTTCCCATGGCAGTTTCTAAACCCTAATCTTTATGCGTCAAGACTCAAAACTGCACTCTGCTATTCAGAGATTTTTTACTTAGGTTTTTAATCTTCTTCCCTGGAATGTCTCTGAGTTTGATAAGTATCTTGAGTGGAAAACTGGCCATGAGCTTGAATCTTCCAATCTGCCAAAGGCTACTGAAGTTGCTCTAGTCCAGGAAGAGCCTTTTGTCTGTTTCCACAGGGCAAATTGATTGTAGAAGTTAGTTCACAATTCGAGGATTCTCCTTTTCAGAAATTTTAGCCCTTTCTGTTCTTATTATTATCACCTGCTGTCTGTTGCTTCAGATAATTTCTGAAATTTAATCAGTTTTTATGGTTGTTTCTGCTGTTAGATAATCCATTCAGTCTACTTGTAAGCAGAATTCCACCAAATAAGTGTATAACTTTTAACCTCAGACTTTTTAAAATCTGTGTTTTGTAACTCTTGGTAGTAAAGAAAGAGGGGTCCTTAAAGTGACTGTAAAGCCCTATACAGTGCCTTCAGTAAAATTTCTGCCCCCAAAACAGCATAAGTTAAACTCACTATATGCTGTGCCTAAAAACAGTAAAGGAAGTCTAAAAGATGTATGTATAAGACGGATGTTAGCTGAACCTATTGTGGTAGTCATTTCACAATATATGTAATTCAAAGCATCATGCTGTACACCTTAAATTTACAGTGTGGTAAGTTATTTATCAATGAAAATTATTATTTAATTTTATTAATAATTAGGTTATAATTTCTCTATTATATTTCAATAAGACTGGGAAAAAGATGCACTCATAATAGAAGCATGTGAGAAAACATAGGATTAAAATGAGCATTATTATCAAGATACTTGGACCCCATTCTTTATTTTTGTTTTGCAACAATAGAACTGGCCAACTTTTCATGATGTATGCATTTGTGGAAGTTATTTGGTTCATGTTACTACTAAATTCTAATGACTGGTTTTCAAAATGTTGATCTCTTCTACATAAAAGTCTGGTGTAAGGAACACTTTATGGTAAAGAATGATCTGTGCTTTATGAATATATACAGAAATCCATAAAATAATATACAAAGTAATTCATAAATTTATATACAAATTCATAAAGGTGGGTTCTGGGTGTTTATAGCCAGTCTTACTTGGGCAATTATACAATTGGACTTCCTGACATAAACAAAAAATGTCAATTTGGGTTTTTGTAATGTTGAAATATACTGGTGAAACCTTCAATCAGATTTCTTATCATACATAAAGCTATTCATTTTAATAGCTAATAAATAGTTGTTAAAGTTGACTATCAAATTTATGTCTATATATACTTGTGTTTAATTTTGTTCTCATTTTTACTGCTTTCTCATTTCAGTATTAAGACTGAATCAAGGCTAAAAGTTATGTTTCAAGAATAACTTAGCCAGTAATTCCCCCTTTTTATGTCATTATACCCTTAGGAAAAAAAAAGTAATTTAGGAAAAGTACAAGTAATTAAATTCCAGTAGAAAGACCCTTGATATTTAAGAATAAATATTTAGATTATAAAGCAAGCTCTTTAATTGCTCACATTGCACCAAAAGTTCAACTAAGAGGTCATATATCCATATAAATTTAGTTGGAAAGCACATGATCAGCTTACTAGGCTTATTGAACACAACATAAAACAATTATACTTCAGATAAGTTCATTTCTTGTTTTATTTAATTCCTATTTCTATTCTTATTGTCCAAAATGACAAAAGAATGCTTATTCCTAACAAATGAAAGTTTAACATGAAATTGATAAAGTAAATTGAAATAAAATACCTCAAAGCTACATTGAAGAGAAGATAAGTTGGACATCAAAGATAAATAACTATTTGGTTGATAAAGGATGTTCATGTCTCCAAAGTAATTTAAAGTGAAAATCTTGTACCATCCAATAAGCAAACCTGAAGAGGATAAGAGAAACTCAGAAGAAATTCTCTTTTGAAAAGTGAGGAGAAGCTGCAGGAGAACCAAAAGGTACATATATTAAATTATACTTGAACTTCTAGGGGCAGCTGGGTGGCTCAGTCGGTTTAGCCTCCGACTTCAGCTCAGATCATGATCTCATAGTTCCATGAGTTCGAGCCCACCTTCATCGTGAGTTCCAGCTTCCCCTCCTTCCTGAGTTCGAGCTCCCCCCTCTTCATGAGTTCAACCCTCCCCTTCATGAGTTCAAGCCCCTGTCTGGCTCTGTGCTGACAGCTCAGAGCCTGGAGCCTGCTTCAGATTCTGTGTCTCCCTCTCCCTCTACTCCTTCCCTGCTCCTGCGCTTTCTCTCAAAAATAAATAAAGGTTAAAAAACTTAAAAAAATATATACTTGAACTTCTATTTATAGAGGAAAAGGAAGGACAGGGAGTAATGATGCATTTCCTGTCTTGCATCCTTTGAAAGTATTTAAGGTTTATTTAAGATTCTGAAATAGTTTTAAAGGATCTTGCCTTTAAAATCCTTAGCAGTGACTTAGTTTTGTTTAGTGAACCTGAGGCCAAATTATAGAAGATTTCTCTTCAATTATCTTTTTCTCTTCAATTATTATAAGTGAGAATAATTTTTAAAATTTATTATTAGTATTTATAGAATACAGACAGTGTGCCAGGTAAGTATCGATCAAATAAAATTTTCAAATTCTAGCATATATGGTGTTCACAATAGGAAGTCACAAATTTAGTGTATTAATATTTTTTTTAAATTTTTTTAATGTTTTATTTATTTCTAGGAGAGAGAGAGAGAGAGAGAAAGAGAGCATGAGCAGGGGAGGGTCAGAGAGAGAGGAAGTCACAGACCGAAACAGGCTCCAGGCTCTGAGCTGGCAGTCAGCACAGAGCCCGACGCGGGGCTCGAACCCACGAACCGCGAGATCATGACCCAAACGAAAGTCGGACGCTTAACCGACTAAGCCACCCAGGTGCCCCTAGTGTATTAATATTTTAATGGAAGTGCAGGTTTATGTACAATCTGAGAGAAACAAATAAGTTATATGCTCATATTTATTTGGGAGCAGAGCCTGGAGAGCAGTGAACAAAGCCTAGGAATTTCAAACACTCTACAGATAAAGTTAATGGTAAAAACAAACACCACAAATATAGAGAAATGGATAATTACATAAAAGCTTTAAGACATTAAGAAGTCAATTTAAATAAAATTCTTATGCTACTTTATAGTTTATAAATTACTATGGTAATTTATAGTTATGGAAAGATTAGTCATCAAAAGAAAGTCAAATATGGATAATATACCTACTTGATAATCAGTTAACTAAAAATGGTAAGCCCAATGAATATTAATAAAAGGGGGAAAATTAAGCACAATCAGGGACATGCATAGGTTTGGAATAAAAGTGTACATATTTAGACAACAAAAATTCTTAAAAGAAAGGCATTGCAATGGGAGTTAGGTTTGCCAAAATTGAGAGGATGACTTGACCAAATACAATCCTTAATTGAATACAAAGCTATTCCTGCAGTTGGGGTTTTCTTTAATTTCTCTCTCAGTGTCTTCAACCAAGAGGTTGGGAAATACCGGCTTCAGGAACTTGAACTCACCAGTCCTAGGGACTCCCGTCAGACATACCTCGTACTGGTAGCTCTGGGACAGCGTCCCCGTGCCGCTGACGTCCACCAGGTGGCCCGGAAAGTGGCCCTCGGGCACCGGGCAGCGACCCGCAGACGCCGCCCGGCTCCGCCTGCACAGCCGCACCGCCACGAACACCAGCACCGAGAACAGGAAGAGCGACGACACGGACGCCAAGGCGATGACCAAGTAGACGGTGAGCGGGTCGGCCTGCGCCTCGGCCGCCGCCACCTCCGGGAGCGGCAGGTAGGGCTGCGAGAAGCCGTCCACCAGCAGCACGTGCAGCGTGACGCTGGCCGAGCGCGGCGGCTCGCCATTGTCCTTGACCAGCACCACCAGCCTGTGCTTGACGGCGTCGCGCTCGCTCAGCAGCCTGGCCGTGCGCACCTCGCCGTTGTGCGCCCACACGCCGAACAGCCCGGGCTCCGTGGCCCTGAGCAGCTGGTACGACAGCCAGGCGTTCTGGCCCGAGTCGCCGTCCACCGCCACCACCTTGGTCACCAGGTAGCCCGCCTCGGCCGCCCTGGGCACCAGCTCGGTGCAGGGCGCAGAGCCGTTCTGCGGCGGGTACAGCACGAAGGGCGAGTTGTCGTTGTCGTCCAGCACCAGCACGCGCACGCGCGCCTGGCTGCTGAGCGCGGGCGAGCCGCGGTCGGCCGCGCGCACGCCGAACTCGAACGCCTGCAGCGCCTCGTAATCCAGGGACCTGAGCGCGAACAGCTGCCCGTTGTCCGCGTTGATGGACACCAGGGAGGCCAGGGGCAGCTGCGGGTCCTGGGGCGGCAGCAGCGAGTAGGTGACGTGGGCGTTGGCGCCCGAGTCTGCGTCTGTGGCGCTGACGCTGCCTAGGTGCAGGGCGGGGCTGTTGTTCTCGCGGACCCGCAGGGTGTAGGTGGTTTGGCTGAAGGCGGGGGCGTTGTCGTTGACGTCGGACACCGTCACGGTGATGTTGTGCTGCGTTTTCAGCCTGGGGGTCCCCAAGTCCGTGACGGTGATGGTGATGTTGTACTCGGCCTGGCTCTCTCTGTCGAGGGGACTTTCCGTTAGGAGCGTGTAGAAATTCTTGAAAGTAGGTTTCAGAAGGAATGGCAGATTATCTGGAATAGAGCAAATCATCTTTCCATTGTCTTCAGAGTCTTTATCTCGAATTCTGAAGATAGAGACTACAGTCTCAGGAGCATTTTCTGGGATGGAGTTGGTGAGTGAAGATATGGTAAGTTCAGGGGCATTGTCGTTCACATCCACCACATGTATGACTACAGTGCCTTTTCCAGAAAGGCCTCCTCCATCTATGGCCTCAACTTCTACGTGGTAAGATTTAATGTGTTCAAAATCCAGTTTCTTTGTCAGTCGGATTTCTCCTGTGACTTCATTAATTGAGAAAGTTTGTTTAATTTCATCGGATGCTTGGAAAAAGCCATAGGAAATACTCCCGAAGTTTCCAGAATCTCTATCTTTAGCTGAGACACTAAGTATTGGAGACTCTAGAGGGCTGTTTTCCAAGACCTGTACTTCATATGGGGTGTGCACAAACTCTGGAGCGTTGTCATTGACATCCATGATCAGGATTCGCACTGTGATGGTGCCAGATCTAGGTGGAGACGCACCATCCAGGGCTGTGAGGGTTAAGGTGAACTCAGCCTGCTCCTCTCGATCCAGTGCTTTGTCCTGCACCAAATCTGGGTATTTCTTGCCCTCACTATGATTTCGATTTAGAACATGAAAATGAGAATTGGGGTTGATAGTGTATTTCTGAAGACCATTGCTGCCCACATCCAAATCCTGAGCTAATTTCAACGGAAACAGAGTCCCTGGCTGGCTGTTCTCCGGTATTTTCAAGAGCATTTCCCCAGTCGGGAATACTGGGGAGTGGTCATTTATGTCTTGGATTGATAATTCTCCTTCAAAAAATTGCACCGGTTTTTCCAGCAACACTTGGAAATGCAGTACACACAGTTCAACAGGGCCACATAGTTCTTCCCGGTCTAGTTTCTCCCTCAAAAGCAAATCTCCAGTCTGACGATCCAGTTGCAAGCGCTGCTTGTCATCGTCAGACACCACCCGGGCTGACCTAGTGGCCAGTTCCCCAGTTCCCAGGCCCAGATCCTTGGCCAGATGAGCTATAAAGGAGCCACTCTCTGTTTCTTCCATCACAGAATAACGAATAGGCTCCAGGCAAGCCTGAGACAAGAACACCATCAAAACAAAGGCCACCACTTGCCTGTTTGGTTGAATTATCTCTGGCATCTTCATGTTGGAGTTCGGGTGCTTAGATCCAATCCCTCCTAGCAACCATAAAGAGACTGGAGATACTATGTTCTGATTTCTTGTTTGGTAGAATCCTCATAAACGTGCCTTTAATCTGAAATTCATTTAGTATATCGTAGCCCAAACTCGCTGATAACCCAGTACGGCTGGCAAGGCTTCTTCCGTGTATTTCTGATTCCTTTTTGCAACAAAGGAATACGGAGCTTTTTACAGCTCTTTATTCACTGTCTTAGCCTGCAGCGCCACCCTGCGTCTTGATTGAGGAATTGATTCTCAAGTTAAAGCGTATTTTGGAAGTGTCCAAATGTAAACTATATAATTTTTACAAACTGTGTTATTCCATTAAATTGCATAACTTATAAGGTTACTTCATTATATTGCATGAGCTAGAGTAATTGTGAGCACAAAGCAAGAAGATACCCTGGTCTCCCCGCACTCTAATCACTGTAACTTCAAAGAACTCTATTTCCCCTTTGCATACTCTAACCAGGGGAGATAAATTCTCATAAAGTTGTAATTCATAATAGTTACATTTGTTTATTTCCAAGTATGTTTATTTCCAATTTATGATGATACAAAAGTTAAGGTGTTCTGTGTCGCACGGTCTCAGGGAGACTGATTTTTAAAGGAAAGTTTGTATGTCCCCAGTATAGTTGAAGGAAGAGGCATCTTGCTTTGTTATGAGTCCTTTTACAGTGTGAACCCATATTAAATTCAGAAGGAATAAAAAGGTATTAGAATTGGATTCTGAGACCTGGAGAGTAAATGAAAGGCGTTTTACAGATAAAGAAACTGAAGTGTATGGGACTTGATTACTCTAGTAGCAGGATAATATAAAGACAAAAACTACTGAATAAAAATCATAGAATTTTATTAAGATAAAGGGTTTAAGTTTAAACTTAGTTAGATAGATATCTATATTTTATAATAAGTTTGCTTCTTACCACATTTATCCTTTGTATTCCAGATACCATATTTTTCAGCCAACTCATTGCAGGGTGAGGTAGGGTGGATAAGAAGCCCTGATTTAAAACATTTTAATCTGTGAGCAAAGGGTGCCTCAGGCCTTGTCTATTCATATATCATAAATAAGAGAGACGTATTTATAAAATGGGCTTCAGCACAGTATGAAGCTATTGTGATAGCCCTGATACAGTAAGTTAACTGAGATAGAATTAACCAGTTTACTGGTTACAATTAGTATATTGAGTGGAGTGCCATTTATCTTGTCACATATGGGGTTTCCCCTCCTTAAACAACCTGTCATTTTATTTAATTATTTAATTAACTTAATAAATTATAATTCATGTTGAATGAGTTATTTTAAAAGCATGATAATCTCAGATTCTGTTAGTGACAAAAAGTATTATAAAAAATATTTTGGGGGGCACCTGGGTGGCTTAGTTGGTTAAGTGTCTGACTCTTGACTTTTGGGTCAGGTTGTGATTCAGTTTGTGAGCTTGAGCCCCACTAACAGTGCAGAGCCTGCTTGGGATTCTCTCCCTCTCTCTGCTTCTCCCTTGCTCATGCTCTCTCTCTCTCAAAAATAAATAAATAAACTTAAAAATATTTTCGAAAGAAACCTAGATTATGGTAGTCATTCAAAAATATCAGTTGAATAAATAATCTACTCTAATGATCATGTTTCTATTTATATAAGATTATTGCCAGATCACATGTGTGGCCATGAACATGTCTGAAAATAAATACAGAATTCTCAGAGATGAGAGTATAATACATGCTAAATACTATTCAATTAAATTTACTTTGATTCTAGGGGTGGCTGGGTGGCTTTGGCTCAGGTCATGATCTCACGGTCGGTGGGTTTGAGCCCCGCATCAGGCTCTGTGCTGACAGCTCAGAGCCTGGAGCCTGTTTCGGATTCTGTGTCTCCCTCTCTCTCTCTCTCTGCCCCTCCCCAGCTCATGCTCTCTCTCTGTCTCAAAAATAAATAAACGTTAAAAAAATTTTTTTAAATCAACTTTGATTCTAGTTCTACTAATGAATTCCTATAAGAGATATACCATTGGCAATAATAACATGAATACATTTTAGAATTCTTTTACATTTAATGCAAATCAGAGGAGATAAAATATATATGAACATTAAGTGAAATAAATACTGAAAAGAATAAAAAGCAAGAATATTATTTATTTATTTATTTATTTAGTAAAGATTCTGAATAGCCAAGCAATCTTTATTTTTATTTTTTAAATGTTTTTTTTTTTTAATTTCTGAGAGAGAGAGAGAGAGACAGCGTGAGCAGGGGAGGGTCAGAGAGAGAGGGAGACACAGAATCCAAAGCTAGCTAGCTGAGCTAGCTGTCTGAGCTAGCTGTCAGCACAGAGCCCGATGCAGGGCTCGAACCTACGAACGGTGAGATCATGACCTGAGCTGAAGTCGGACACTCAACCGACTGAGCCACCCAGGCACCCCAAGAATATTATTTTAGATATAAATGGAAAACAAATATCCTAGGCAAAACAAAGAGCAAATTGTTTACAATATAATGAAGTTCTAGTTAGATTCAAGTTAAAGTGTTCAGAACAAAACTCAAACTATATTTTGTTAACTTATTCCTATATGTTGACATTCAAACAGTGCTGAAAATCAGTTCCTTTTGTCAATCCAAAGCAAATGAAATCTAGATAATATTACCACCCATGTATCTCTATATGCCATTCTGTATTATTATTCTAAGCAATTACATATATTAATTCATTTTATCCCTCCAACAACCTTATGAGGTGGGCACTCTTATCAGCTGCATTTTATAGATGAAGAAATTGAGGCACGGAGAGTTTAAATAAACTACCCATAATCATACACCATATGAAATGATAGAGATAGGATTCAAACTGTTACCGTGTGGCTTCAGAATCTATTATCTACATAAGTGGAACTGGAGAAGTGGGCAACTTAGATAATGTAGATCCAAAATTAAGCCTTGCCTTGGGTACATAGATATCATAGGTGAGATACACTTACATAGATATCATAGGTGAGATACACTTATGTTCAAGTTTGCAATTAACCTAAGAATCTTTAAGATGGTCTGTCTTCCTTTAGAGTTAGAAACCAGCAAAAAGAGGTTCTTACAAAACTTAGAAGTTGGAGGAGAAACTAATAGTGCTTTGTTGAAACCATTAATTAGGTAAAAAATAAAAATTAGGAGTGACACATATAATGAATTCCCTATAGCCTTGATTATTGGAGAAAAAGATATCTATGTATGATCTTTTGAAATGTTACTAGGATGTGAAGTTAAAATCAAGAAAGATGAAAAAAAAAATCAAGAAAGATGGCCTAAAAGAATAGTCTAACATATTACATCATGGATTATTCCCCCCAAATAAACTGCTAAACTTAAAAACAATGTATTATCTTTTACCTACACGGAGGAGGAGTTAATGATAACAAGAATGATCTCCCCCCAAAAAAATCCTATTCCAGCCAGGAAAGTTGCATTATTCATTCTGAAGGATTCATAAAACAATTATTGCCAGACCTGAAGCTTGACATTTAAAGTATTTAAAAACTTTTTTTAACATTCATTTATTTTTGAGAGACAGAGAGACAGATCATAAGCAGGGGAGGGGCAGAGAGGGACACACAGAATCAGAAGCAGGCTCCAGGCTCTGAGCTATCAGCACAGAGCCCAATGCAGGGCTCCAGCTCATGAACTGTGAGATCATGACCTGAGCTGAAGTCAGACGCTCAATCGACTGAGCCACCCAGGTGCCCCTAGAGCATTTTTTTCCATTTTGTATATACAGAGGAAGAATAGTTTTAATACCTCCCTCGTGAAATGTTGGCAAGAACTTTAAATTTCATTGACAAAAAGATAAAAATTATTTTAAAGGAGTTTGAATACAAGTAGACTGAAAATTCAAAATGCAAAATCCATACTCTAAAGTTTTGAATATTCTCACTTGTTTTTTTTTTTAATGTTTTTTATTTATTTTTGAGAGAGAGACAGCATGAGCAGGGAAGGGTCAGAGAGGGAGGGAGACACAGAATCTGAAACAGGCTCCAGGCTCTAAGCTAGCTGTCAGCACAGAGCCTGACGTGGGGCTCAAACCCATGAACCGCAAGATCATGACCTGAGCCGAAGTCGGGCACTCAACCGACTAGCCACCCAGGCGCCCCTATTCTCACTTGTTTTTTAAAAAGTAAGAGAATTTTTTCAAACTTCATGATGACTTGAGGGCTATTTTGAAGAGGGAAAGTAGAGGGAGTTTAAACATTAATTGTTGAAAGAGAAATTAATTGGTGAAATAGATATTCCATTTTAATTAGCATTTTTGGTTCTCCTTAAATTGCACTTTAATAGTATTGTTTCAAAATATTAAGCTAACATTAATAATTTATTAATATTGATGGTTTCTGGATTTTGTACGAAATCTTGAGGGTTTTTTTCTACTAGGTAAAGTAGATACCTCAGGCTGGCCTTTTAGTGAAATAACTATAAAGCAAACAATACAGCTCACTGGTGACAGTAAACTAAAATTTAATATCAGCTAAAATTCCAAACTAAACCTATAAGATATTTTTATCACATCTACTGAAATCCAAATTTAGAAAGGAGATATTTAAATAATGATTTGGCTTGAGAAATTTATGATGGAATCTAAGGCAATTTCTAATAATTCCTTGTAGGACATACTAAAAGAGATAGTATTTTTATGTTTAATGTATAAAAATTTTCAAATATCTAATGTCTGCCTTACAATACATCTTTAAACTCAGAAAGTATGAGTCCTCCAAATCTGTTGTTCTTTTTTCAAAGACTGTTTGGTTATTCTGGGTCCCCTTTGTTTCCATATAAATTTTAAGGTCAATTTGCCAATTTCTGACAAAAAAAAACAAAACAAAACCCTGGCTGGGATATTGATAGGGATTGCACTGAATCTGTAGACCAATCTGACAATTTGGGAGGTATCACCATCTCAACAATGTTGAATCTTCCAGTCCATGAACACTTTCCATTTATTTAAGTCATCTTTAATTTC